AGAAGCAAGATCATGAGACGCGGTTGAGACAATAACGCATGGAACATGTCGCTTCTCGAGATCAAGTAGACCACGCTAAGTCCCCCCAACAAACTCAGAGAGTCAGCAGCAAGCCCTCATCCGAATTGCGGCTCTAGAAGTTTTCCACCATGCGAGCATTCATGGCTTGTTGGAAAGTATCCTGACCTCCAAAGTCGCGGGCATTAACGGCAGTGCTGCCACTGCCTTCGCCGGACTGGCCAACGTCACCCAGCGCAGCATTCATGGCGGCGCCACTGAGAGGCTGGGAGCTGCCGGGCAGGAAGATGACTTTGCTGTTGGCGGACTTGGCCATGGCTTGCATAGCCTCGAGGTAGCGAATTTGCATGGCAGGCGCAGAGCTCAGAATATCGGCGGCTTGGCGCATCAATTTGGCCGATTCGACCTGGAAGAGACAGTATGGTTAGCCAGCCGATTCCCTTTGTCATATCCCCTAAGAGGCGAGCCGCGACCAGCTCCTCTAAAGTCTTACCTCGGCCTTGGCGGCGATGATCTTGCTTTCACCAATTCGCTTGCTTTGAGCAGCCATCGAAAGCGAGTCTTGCAGGTCCTGGCTGAAGAGTATATCTTTGATAAGCATGCTCTCGACCTGAACACCCCAACCGGCAGCGACATCTTCAATAATCTCCCCAATCGACTGGGCAATCTCCTCGCGACGCTCGATGACGTCCTGAAGCACGCGGGCACCAACAACGTGACGGAGAGTAGTCTGAGTACGCTCAACGAGAGCCTGGCGAACGTTGGAAATGCCAAAAGCGGCCTTGTGAGGAGACACGATGTGGTAGTAGATGACCGACGTCAGGCGCAAGGTGACATTGTCCTTGGTCATGCAGGTCTGCTCAGGTACTTCGGCAATCTGAATCTTGACGTCCACCTGGATGAGTCTCTCGCTGAGGGGGTTGACCTTGACCAGGCCGGGATCCACGGCCTTGTAGAAACGACCAAACTTGGTGACGAGACCGACGTGGCCTTGGTTGACATGCTTATACGGGTTGGGGCAGAGAACACAGCAAGGAATGGCGCCCATAGTTCCAATACACGAGCCGAGAGAATTTACTATCAATTGAATGAGTCAGAAAACAGATGAAGACATATACAAGGAAGCCCGATCAAGGCAATGTCAAGGACATACTCATGCTGCCATACCAGCCCTTGGGGTTGGCCTCGCCCCCGATTTCAGCGGCATAGCTGACCTGGAGGTCCTCATTCCGAGGGGGCTGGACCGTCATCTTGTTCTGGGGCTGAAATCCGGTAGCGTTGGTACCATCGTGGTCAGCAGCCTTGGAGGAGCTGCCGTGGCCGGCGCCGTTGGGAACAGACATGGCTGCGGTGCTGGTGGATTGGAGTGGCGACGATTGTAGACGGTGACCGTGACGGTGGACGATTGAGGATTGGAGAAATAAGCAGCGGCTACCGACGCGACAGTAACACAGCGTGCTGCGTGCTGCTGAAAAGCCCAAGCTCGTAAAGAGATGAAAGATGAAAAGCTGCTATAGAAATGCTGTAGCAGTTGCGTGAGAGAGAAGCACTGGGGAGGAGTACGAGGTAGAGGAGGTAGAGTGGGAGAGAGTGAGTATTTCTACGGTGGTTGAGCGCATCTTATATAAGGAAGGAACATGCGCCGAGCTCCTGCAAGAATAGCGCGACGACGTCAGTAGTAAACCGTCCAGATTGGGGAGGTGTGGTGAGGTGTGGGAGTAAAGGGAGGAAGGCGCGAGGTGTTGGAGAGGTACAGGTACTACTGTACTGTACCTACCTAGGTAAGGTAGGTAGTAGGTAATACATGCAGGCTCAAACACCTCAAAAGTCAACCCAGTGGGAATAAACGGCAGGAAGCAGCTCGGGTGAAGCTCCCCCAAGGCAATTGCAGCTTATTGGAGGCAAGAGCTGCAGAGTGTCGTGCTAGTACTCGGTACATGGACAAGATGGGCTAACAGAGCTGCAGCACAGCCTCCTCATCGCATCACCTGGCCTGTCCAGCACTCGCCGATTTGGTGGGCGGGAGAGAAGCTCTGCTGTTCTTTTGTCCTTGCGTCGCCAATTGCCTGTATTGTGTACACGTTCTCCTCTGCTGCCATCCACGCACGCCTGCAGTTGCTCTAACTTCCGTACCTACCTTACCAAGTGCTGAGCTCTTCCAGGTCTCAGCACCACAACAAGGCGTAATGACAGCTCAAACACTGTCTTTGCAATTCTCATCATCTTCATGATGGGATTCCAACATTCTGAAGAGGTACATACTTTGCATGATGACACTTGACAGAGGCAACAGCAGCACCTCCAGAGTCCCTGCGGGTGGAGAATCCACACTCGGCACCGCATCGCCGTGCGGGGAGGCGGGAAAAGCGGAGGTCGAGTGCCAACAAGGTGTGATTTGAGTGGCAGCGTCGCGTTGCATCGACACCCTCTTTTTTTCTTCTCATCTTCTTCTTGTGTTCTTCACTCGTCTCTACATGGGTAGGTCCTTAGTGGTCTTAGCGGCAACTGCTGGGTGGTATTGAAAGCTACAGCCGGCGGGCTCGATGGTGTGACGTTATTGATCGCTCCGGTCGGTTTCAACGCCGACGAGCACCAAACTTCACAGCACTGCGAAACACGATCCGTTTCGAGCCCGACTGAATCATATCTATTTGCTGCCTCCGGCTAAAGGCAATAATTCAACGGCAACTAGCCATTGACGGGGCCGCATACAAGCACAGAATGATCGTTTCACTACCTCGTCGATAATACAGTACTGTCTCGGTTTTTCCAAGGCAGCTCATTAATACGCTCATCACGACTACAGGACTGCGCCATTGAGCCGCTTTACCCTAGACCTAGGGCCTCGACGGCGTCGTCTATCAAGAAAGCCTCGCTTTGGCGATGGTTTCCCCTTGCCATTCAGGTTGACCGAATGACGACTGGGGCTGTTGTCGACGGGCAATGACGGAGACTAGTCCGATGGCTAGCAGCGCATTTGTACAGAGTACATTTGATCGAATACAAATCAAAGATCACATGGTGGAGTTGAGTTGGGCACGATCAGAGACAACCAGCCTCACGCACTCCAAAGCTTCTAGACGCTGCAACCAGACCGACCCGATGGCCCGTATTCTGCGTATCGACGTTCCATTGCCCCATCCAACAGGGGACCTTGGGCCAGATCCTCATGGCCGACTGCCAAAAACAGCATGCAGGCAACAAAGCATGCAAATCGCTGTTTACCGACTCCAGCACTGCCACATTTGTTTTCAGCTTGGCAAACTCCCCATCTCCGGCTGAGCATCGAGACAAGCCCGAGAAGCCAAATCGAGGAAAGGCACTCACCGCCGGCACACGTGGTCCCTTTCGAACAAAGACCAACCAAATCAGAAACAATCGAGAAGAAAGTTCCCAAGAAGACCGCCCCCCCCCCCCCCCCCCCCCCCCCCTTCTTAGCATCAGCGCTTGGCCAACTCAAGCCTCAGAACAAGCGCTGACGCCCTTCCCTCGTGTCTACTACTACTAGGCCATCATAGTGGCTGATCCCCTCAGAGGAACCGGGTCAACTAACGAACCAGAAACACCCCGACCCCGACCCCGATCCAAAGCCTCGATTCCATCCATGATTGATGAGCCAAAGCGGCGATTTGCTCCGGCGGCTGCCGGCTCTTCCAGAAAGCTTCTAGGCGTTTTCCTTTTGCCATTTCTCTGTCCGTGGTTCTGGCTGGCCTTGAGCCAACAATTTGCCATCCTTTTGAACTGCGCCAGCTTTGGAATGAGTTGTTGGCTCCGTTCCCTTTATCGCCATCCGATCCTTCGGCTCGACAGAGCCACAAAAATCTACCCATCAAATGGCCCAGCTATACCCAAAACCCCCTCGTTTGGGTCTTCAAGGCACTGTAGCCGCTCACCTGTAAACGCCTCCCCTTTTGTTCACGATCCAACGAGAATTGATTCTCCAGTATGCCTGCCTAAGCGCCTTCCTATGTCCCCTTGGTAACCGCAGCTAGCTGTACCTAGTAAATAGTGAAAAATGCCTGCACGAGAGCCAACGTCCACTACCGCGGGCAGTGCCCAAGTCGTGCGTGATGACGTCTAGATAATACAACTGAGGTGGTGGTCAAAGGTCTGTCTATATCTTTCAACATTGGCGAGGAGCACCCAAAATGAACAAGTTCCCGCCAGTAAGCGTAAATACTAGGTAAAGTGTAAAGAATCCATCAATTGAGTCGATGTTACTGTAAAACCCTGATCTGCAGATGATCAAATACATACAGACTACTCCCTCACTGTAGCCTATCTATTAGGCATTCTATTCCCGCTTGAGCCTCATCCACCACTTGGCATTGACATCAGTGACCCACACGAGATGCCTCCTTCGTCCTTCGCCCGTGTCCTGCCTCATCACCGCTTGGCAAGCCCCGACAGGCTGACAAGATGCCGTGAGAAAACCGTGGCGGAGCCGGTGCAATTGCTCTTCTCATCTCCGCGGTGGTGGCTGAACGATACGGGAGCGCAACAAGACTAGCGACGGCCCATGCCATCATCGAGCAACAAGGCAGACAGTGATTACCTAGTATTGATAGCTACATGTTCACGTTTTAAACTCCATCTCCATATCTAGTTTTCCCTTTGACCACATCATCATCATCTTCGAGTGCTTTTGTAGCACCCCCCCTGATTCGTAACACCTTGTCCATAACTTTTGTGTGCCGTACCAAGTCCAAAGCAGATCAAACATCATTATCGTATCCTTGAGGCCATTGCCTCGCCAAGTTATAGAGAATTCATCGAATCTCTGGATCCCTCATGAAGTCAGGGAGGGTGAAGCCAGAGTCACCCCCCTCGAGTCTGGCCGCAGCCAGGGTCTGCGCAATCTCGTCCAGTCTAGGGTTTCCAGAAACCCTACGGCGGCTTCCGGCAACTGCAGACACATCCAGTGTATCATCCAAGCGAGAGCTGTCCGGGTCGGTTTGCTGGACGGCGTCTGCGTCGAAGGCGTATATCTTGATGCCTCGTAGATGCGTGTCCTTACCGTTTTGGTGGTTCTCCAGAATTTGCATCTGCAGCACCCAAGACACGAGCGTGTTGCCGTCAGGCTCGCCGCCGACGCCTGCGAGAGGCACTTGTTGCCACCCCACGGGGCTGGCGAGGTTCATGGCGGCAAACTGAATCAGGTTGTTCTCGCTCGTACCAGACTTGAAGATGATTTTGGTGGGCGTATAGGACTCATCCTCGTTGTAATTGACGTAGAAGCGAATGTCCCGGATGCCCACTCGTTTGACAAAGTAGATGGTGAGCTTGTGAGGCTGCGGGCCATCTGATCTAGAAGCCAAGCATATCAGACAATGATCTCAAGATGGGCTAAATGCCCGATCTAGGGGGGGCTCGAGACTTACTGCCAGTACGAAGTGAGGTCGTCGCTCCGAAGCTGCTCAACACCATTACCTGGTTTATGGCTGCTCACGGTAAATTTTCCTAGGTTGGAAATCTCCTTGAGGCCAAAGACGCCCGGGTCCATCATTGCGAGGGGCTCCTGCTCCCCTTCAACCTGGTCGTCGACATTTTCGTCGTCGTTTTCATCAAGATTCTCGTCGAGATTCTCATCGAGGCTCGCTTCCTCGGCATCGTACTGCCCCTGAGACATGGCGTCGTCGTCGTCGTCGTCGTCATCGTCGTCGTAAGTCATCTGAGCGGCCTGCTGCTCCAAGACAGCGGCCATCCCTCGCCTCGTCATTCCCAGATGGCTCAGATCCGGCTCCGAATCCGAGCCGGAGCCTGATGCAGTGCCGGAGCCATCGGTGTCGAACTGCAGGCTCAGGCGATTGTTGGTGCTTCTCCGCGTGGCTGACGATATCATGTTAGCGACTGTGGGCTGAAGGACCCGACTGCGTGCTGTGCGCTGTCTCTGGCGGCGCTTCTTGTGCTGGAACGACTGCAAGGGCGAATGGAGGAGCGAAAGTCGCTTGACTTCTCGGGTCCGATGGGCCACTCGGTGAAAAGCTGCCTGCACAAGGGCGTCGCCGTTCTCCTTGTCCGGAGAGGGCAGTTGCCTGAGGACTGACTCCCTGCGGTCGAGGATAGTGCCGTGGGAGGAGATGGAAAGAGGCTGGAGGGGGCGGCGATTGCTTCCAGTTGGCCGGTTGGAGAGGCCAAAGACCTCGGTGGAAGGCAAGTTCTCCTGGGGCACTTGTTCTCGAGCACGGAGAGGAAGCAGCGCAAGAGCCATGGCGGAAAAGAGAGGGTAGAAGGGCGACTTTGCCTGGTGGTGAATGCGAAGGAATGGCTATTGTTGTTGCTGCTGCAGCAGGGCTGCTGCCCGTTGATTGTAGGATACAACGAATGAATGAATGAATGAATGGATGACTGAATGAATGAAGGAGAGGAAGAATAGGAGGGGAAAAGTAAAGACAATGCAAGGAGAGAATAGGAGATATCAAGAGGATCAATAGATCAATAAAGGAACGAAGGCCTGCAATAGGCAGGCAAATGAACAGGTAGATTAAATGAGCGACTGAATGAATATACAAGTGTGAAGGAGAGTAAAAGAGAGAGAGAGAGAGAGAGAGAGATGGTGGTGAGAAACAATCAAGCAGCAGAAACAGACCTGAATGAAGAGGATGGGAAAAGAAGAAGGAAAAAGAAGGAAAAGAAGAAACAAAGGACAGACGCAGAAGAAGAAGGAGAAGAACGAAGAAAATGAAAAAGTGAGAAAACGTGCTCATTGAAAAAGAAGTGACTGTAAAGTGACCAGCTGCTCCATCACACGTGCATGCATGTCACTCGTCGTCGTCTTCTTCTTCTTCAACACCACACCACACATTCGCCATCCCATCGAGGTAGGTAGTACCCAGAAACAGCCAGCATCCAGATCACGTAAACACTCACATCTGTGCAATCGAAACGGATTCGGCGGCGGCGCCATCTCGCGCCTCCTGTGCCCAACCTCGGGCGTCTGCTGGGCTCCCGCTCCCGCTTCCGCAGCCGCAGCGACGGCGAGGGCGGCATCGGGCGTCACCTGGACCTGCAGCGCCTGTCTGCGGTTCCGGCGCCGCTGCGTCGCGGCCTCGAGCTCGAGCTGGGCCTGGGCCTGGGCCTGGACCTCTTGGCTCGAGGCTGCCGAGGCTGCATGGCGCGTTCGTCTCGGGCCGCGGGCTGCGTCCATCGTCAAGCCATCGTCCAGATGCGTGCGTGATGCCGTTTTGCTGGGCCACGAGGCGTCGAGTGGCAGAGACGAGGCGTCGTTGTTGCGCGCGGTCACGTGACAGCGCATCCGATATATAACGGCTGGGATCCCCCTTCACATGGACTGGCTGAGGTCAATCAAACGCTGCTCTGTATTCATTCAGGAGCAATTACTCGTACTAAACTACCCATAAAGATCTGAGCCATTGATCTTGAGGAAAACCAAAAAAAAAAGAGAGGGAACAAAAAGGAGGGAGAGATTGAACAATCTGAAGATCCTCGCTCCATATTAAACATTACCGCACCTTGAGAGGAAACTCAACCGCTGGACCTACAGCCTCCAGACGCTGCATCTCAAACCATCGCCACTCCCCGACAACACGCCCAACAGCTCCAACACCGTCCAGCGAATCTACATGGGCCATTGCGGTGAACCATAGGCAAAAGGTCGCCTTGCCTTGTCTTGCCAAGGGGCCTCTCCCTTTAGGCCATGTCAGCCACCATGTCCGGATTGGCCGCATATCCAGTGCCTGTCGAAGTGGTCACCGGGTTGCCCAGGGGGTTCTGGTTCACGGACGCTGCGTCTGCCGAGTGACGGCCGGAGCCTTCGCCCTCGAATGCCGTCTCCGCTCTGCCGTCCGCAGAACCTCGGAACAGAGAAGCCATATCCATCACGGACTGGCGCTCCTCGTTGTCTTCGTCCTGCTGCTGTCCTTCGACCGGCGGAGCGGTGCCCTCATTGCCCGCGGCACCACCATACACAGCGTTACCAAACGTCTGCAGAGGAATCGGAGGTGCTGGAGGCGCCACGGCGGGACCATCATTACGCTGCACTTTATTGCCTGTAAATAGGTTCAGGTCAGCGGCCGTCGTTATCTCACAGCTTGGCCTCACACCTTCTCGACCAAGACAAAGGTGTACTTACACTATCCGTCCATGCAATTGCAGAACCATCTGCCAACGATGAATCCCAGGAAGATACCGGCAAACGAGCCGATCATGTACGGCCGAGGGTCGAAGCCCCTTTTCTTGTACTCCGTCAGGTCCATTCCGCGAGCGCAGAGGCTCTCGTGGTAGTATTTGTTTGCGGTGGCGATGCCATCGAGGAGTAGAGTGGAAGGGACGTCTGTGGGCTTGGTTTGACACATGGTTCGTTTTGATGAGGAAACAGATGTGTTGTCCGTGAGATGCTTGGAAAGAAGAGTGAGATGGGCTGTAGTTGGAAGGCTGCAGGTATGGCTAGATTGCTAGTAGAATGAGTGACGCGATGATGATACTGTAGCGGGTATCTGAATTGTGTCGTGTGAAGGAGAAGAAATGCAGCCGTTCCAAACATGCCGCTCCTATTTATCCCCCGATGCCTGAGACGACTGTGTGATGAGTGCCTTCCTCAGACAAGACGCCGCTTTCCTCCAGCCGAGATGCTCCTTGGTCTCTCTCTCTCTCTCTCTCTCTCTCTCTCTCTCTCTCTCTTCTCTCTCTCTCTCTGAACCGTGGTCATAACGCCTTCTCTTTGTGACAAATCGCTCCATCCATCACCGCCCATCCATCACCCTCAGTTCCCCCGAATCTCTGCAGCAAGCGGCATCTGCCTCGTCCAGATATTCATCCCAATCTTCTCCCCGCTGACGACCGGCAATCCCGCATGCAGCGTCCTCTGATCCCCTCTCCCGTCCGGCATCAGATTCTCCCAATACACGACATTGCCCTCAACCGGCCGAAACGTCACGCCCGCCTCATACTCCTCGTCACAGTCAACGAACCTGCACCACCGCTCGTCCCTCGGCGCATCCAGGATGGGAAAGTTGGTCCCGCCGCCGGTGACGTTGTCGGCCTTGACGTAGCCGAAGAAGGAGCTGATGCGGTTGCCGCCCAGCGACGCGGCCGCGTGAGACGGCTCGGTGAACCAGTCGGTGTGGAAGTGGTAGCGCTCCGTGACGGCGTACTTGACCAGCTGGATGGGCTCCAGGTGCGACTCGGGCACGTCGAAGCCCTGGAAGGCGAGGGCGCGCGCCTCGATGCAGCGCACGACGGCGTCGCGGGCGACGGTGGTGGACTGGGAGGTGCGGACGGAGTGGATGGCCGAGTTGCCGCCTTTGAGGACGGCCGAGTGCTTGAAGTGGCCGTCTCTGCATCCTTATGATCAGTATGATGTTTGTCTGTGTGTGATAAGCTGTTCATGGTCACTAGAACTCACGCAATCGCTTGCAGGTGTAGCCGCTCCTCGTCGGTGATGAAGTCCTCAAGGTAAATGACCAGGGGCGACTTGCTCAACAGGTGCATTTTGTACGGCGGATGCGCGCATTCGTAGCCATCCAGCCCCTTCTGCGACGCAGCATCATCACTTGCGCCCAGGACGAATCCCATGCCAACGGCAATGGCGGCCAGCCAACGGACAAGATTCTGTGGATAGTACATGATGTTCGATCGCTGATTAGGTAGTTGTAGCAGACAGAGACAGACACTATGAAGAGGCAAAGCATATGAGTTGCTGCCAGGTTGATCTCAGAATGAGGCCATTATCTATCCATGTGATGCTCATGGTTCTCTTTTGGCATCCCCGGAATCTCAAACACACTGTTGAAACACGGAGGCGTGCCGACGATGCGCGCAAGACTGATGATGGCGGATTGGCCCCGTTGTTTCGAGTGACCCCTGTTTCTTGGGCAGAGATCTGACACGCATTACTCGTGATATCAGGAGGGCACCTCTGTGTTGCATCTTCTACGAGTGACGAGAGAAAACATACTCTACTCACGACTCTCAGCTACCTTCCCCCAATTGAATTCAACTCTTTTTCCCTTTATTTGACCATTTAACGGAAGTTCTCACGATGGTAGCCAGATTGTCCAGCATCTACGCCTGTGGGCTCTTAGCCTGGACGCACATTGTTTGCGCCTCTCAGTTTAGCGACCCGATGCAACTACAGAAGCATCTTGCACAGAATGACTATACTTTAATTGCTTGTAAGTCATGACAATATCGCCTTCTAAAGTGTGTCAACTCAGGTAGAAATAATTGCTAATAGTAGCTTACAGTTGTTGCTGTAAGAGTTGTTCGGGTCAATATCTTACCTAGTCAAGTCGAGACTCGAGGCTGACCTTAAGGTATCGCTACCACTTACAGCCTCAACTGTAAGTTTTGGCCAGGCCAAGTTTGAACCCATCTCCCTTAAGAACACCGAACTTAAAAAAAGTCAAACGGCAGAGAAGCCAGCAAACTCCTCTTAGAAGAATGGCAGACGGTCCAGCAACATGTCGCCTCCACCGCCACCATCGACTGTCCGTCCAGCCCTAAACTCTGTCAGGAGATGGACGTCGCCTCCTTTCCCGCTATTCGGCTCTACCGCCAGGATGGCTCAGTAACACGTTATCGAGGGCCTCGTCGGACCGCACCGTGAGTTGACACTTTCTTCGAATTTTGGAGTTAATCTCTCAAAGCATGAAGTGACTGACTGACTACCTTACCTCCCAGGATCGACGCCTTTGTGAAGCGTGCTCTCAAACCATCCGTGCAGAATGTTCCTGGGCAGCAACTTGCCAACTTCATCACCAACGACGACTATGTATTCATCGCCAAGCTGCAAGGCGAGAGCGAGAGCATCAATTCTCACTACAGGGATTTTGCGCAAGAGTATTCTGATCGATACTCGTTTGGCATCATCACGAGTGGCTCTGTACCCTCCAATGGCGTCTGGTGCTACAACAACGTCGACGGAAATCAGCACGCGGCGACGGACTTGAACGATCCAAATGCCTTGAAGAAGCTTCTCAATCTTTGCACCGCGGAGGTCATTCCCCAGCTTACACGACGCAATGAGATGACTTATCTTTCCGTATGTCTTCTGTTCTCCCTCCTCACTTTTAAAATGTTCAGTAGAAGAAGCTTGGGCTTCTGACCCCTTATTCCAGTCAGGCCGATCCTTGGTCTATTACTTCTCCAACAATGAAGCAGACCGCGAAGCATACGTCAAAGCGCTCAAACCCATCGCCCAGCGATACGCCGAGTTCCTCCAGTTCGTCACCGTCGACTCTGGCGAGTATCCCGATATGCTGCGCAATCTGGGCGTTCGCTCCGCCGGAGGCCTGGCAGTGCAAAACGTCCACAACGGACATATTTTCCCCTTCAGAGGAGACGCTGCTGCTTCGCCTGGACAGGTTGACCAGTTCATTGTGGCCATCTCAGAAGGTAGGGCGCAGCCTTGGGATGGGAGGTTTGACGAGGGACAGGAGGCGCATGATGAGCTCTGAGGCAGAAAAAGACTGCGTTTGATTCGTTCAAGTTACTTTTGCTGGCTGGGACGTCTAATTCCGTGTGTAACATCATACTTCATCAACTGTGCAGCTCAAGATAATTAAAGATAGACTCTACCTTTAGCCCTCAAACTTTATTACAGCCTCTGCTTTCAAACTTGTCTAGCGTGTCTCCCTCATATGGGCTTGTGTTTCTCTCAGGGTCTTCTTTAGAATTACCTACTTCAGCCACATCCATTTCCGTGGCAACTCAAGGCTTAACATGACAAGCCCAAACCTGCTTGCTAGTACAAGCCAAGTTATATAAACTTCTCGGTATCCCACATGACCTTGTTTGCACTTCTCCTCTCCCACAGAGTCCAACTGTGACTGAAGTTCTTTTACTTTACAGCTTCTACTTGCTCTCGTAGAGCTATACTCTCTCGCAAACGCTGTTCAACATAATCATTGCTCTACAGGTTTCAGTCACTCTATCACTCTACACCACCAGTCGTTACCCATCATACTCTTACGACAATGTCTCAACCGACCACGCCAACCACCCCTCCAGCCAAAGAGCCCAACCCTTGCGACATCTCGAGGGCGGCCAAACAAGGCCTGGAAGACATTATCAGGCTAAACAACCTCGACTCGGCCATTGTCGGTCCATCAAATATAGATAGAGCTCAAGTTCCCCTGAAGACATGGGAGAGCGCATCCAAAGACCCCGAAAAGTTGATTGCATTAGCCTCCGAGATGCACCGGCGAGTCTTTGTGGACACAAAGTATGCCGAAGCCTTGAAGCGGATGGAGGAGTTGACGGCCATCGAATTCACGTCAGGATACGGCGACTATCTTGCAAGCAGCCTGCAAGAGGTGCAGAAAAGCTTGCGTCGGCTGGCGGCCGTAGCACCTGACTTTGCCGGTAAACTTGGGCAATGCACACCGAACGAGGCGTTGAGTCTTCCCCAACAAGTTCAAGAGAAAGCTCTTGCCTTCTATAAAAGACGCATCGATGGTCAGAGGTCCTGGCTCCGGCTTCATAGTGAACAGGGTGTGATGGAAACCACCACAGATTTGTCAAAGGGGGAGGCATCCGGGGGAGTCACCGATGCTGTATCTGCTCCAGGTCCTTGCTGGATTGAATGAATGACGCAACGGCAGAAGCCATTATCGAGGCGATTGAGGCATACGCGAGCCGAAACGGTACTGCGCATGGTCCCGAGTACGTGACATAGAAAGAAGACGATGTTTCTTGCTCGAAACCTTTGAGAAAGACTTGCAAGGCTTTTAAAGCAGCACCAGCTGCATGGCAAGAGGCTGTGCTCGCAATCCGGGGGGGGCCATGTGGAAGACGATTCATGAGTGGTTTGCGGTGTTTGAGTGGAGCGAAGAGGATCAGAAATGCTTGGAGTTCTTGTTGAAGCGGGACGAGAGATGACTTTATGTTGTATATGGGCATTTAGGCGTGACTCTAGGGGGTGGGGATGAAGGCATCATCTTGCGTTGGCTGCAGCTTGATATGTCTGGATAGATGATTTGCTATGCTGCGAGAGTACATGGGCATATAGTAGGTGGGAATATCATTCATTCTGCTATTATCGTTATATACTCCTACTCCTGCTTCATGCTTCTATGACTACTACTTAGTGATAATGGCTATGAATCTTTAGAGCTACTCCAAGGCAATGATATCTTCTTCCCTTACAACAAGGTCTCAAGTTGAGAAGCCGCTTGATCAAGCCAGCATACAACCGTTGCGCACATGGCGAAAAAGGACCGAGGCAAAGTTCCCACAGCATTAGCAATGGCTGTTTACCGGACAAAGCAAGGTTGGGCCCCTAAGAAAAGGGGTAATGCAGGAGGCTGAACTGGGCGTACTGTTTATCAACACCAAGTCTCCTGCGCATGTAGGACCGAGCAGGAGTAACTTTGCACGCCTCAGTTACTCTTAACACTAAGCTGACGTTGTAAGGTAGTTGAAAAAGACTCATTCCACGCCGGGTTGTCTTTCACTTTAACTCAACGCAAGCCGCCAACGCCAATAGGTATTCGGGATTTTGAGGTAAGACCTGCTGTGCTCTTATAAAACTGCTTCAATATAAATACCCCTTGGGCCTCCTAGCTCAACAACTCCCACCCAATCGGCTCACCTACACCACCATGCGGCAAAGGCTCGAAGAATATCTACACCAACTCTCATCATGTGGTCCTTCAAGGCCCAATTCGAAGCCCAGATCCAAGACAAGCCAAGCAAGGCCAACCCCAATTCCTCTAAACTCCCTTCAGGAAGAACCCAGGACCTCAACGCCATCGAGGCAGTCGCCGCAGATAGCCTTAGAGAAATCCTGAGGATGAAGGCCCAAGAACCCTTCTCTATCAGCCCCAGTACGGAAAAGCGAGTCCAAGGTCTCTTGGCCAGATGGGATGTGGGAGATTTCACCGGCCTCAGAAACGCCATGGAATATCGTGCCTTGGTCGCTGAAATCCACGAGCGCATTGAGATTGACGCAACGTACGCCGGTGCGCTCGCCCGCCTTGACGAACTAGACGTCATGAGTTTCCAGCTGCGGTATAAGGAATACTTTCCCTCGGGATATCAAGAGTTTGAACAGAGATCGCGACGACTCGAGGGGACGCAGAAGGATGCGTTCAATGGAGACTCGTACCCGATGTTCGAGACGGAACTAGAGGCCCTCGCCTTTTTCGAAATAGAAGAATGGACAGAGATCTGGGAGCAATTGAGAAAAGAGCCCTGCTTCGGATGCGCTTCCTGTCCCTTGATGGGAGACTCGGCCGACGAATCACCGCTCGTCAACTTAATCCAAGTGCTCGCTCGATTGATGGACACATGGCCGGATATAATCATTGCAGCCATCCGAGCCTACGTCAATCGAGAGGCAGCCAAGCAAAGTCGTATAGCCCAACTTGCGGCCGCGAACAAGATGTTTCTCGTCGTAAAAATCATCGAGAGCGATCTTCGAGACCTTGAGCATGCCCCAGCCGCGTGGAAGGAAGCCGTGCCCGCCATCCGCGACGCAATCTTCGTCTTGATATGCCGGTACTTTACAATCTTTTTCTGGGATGGGGAGGCGCGGCTGTTCTGGAGGGTCGAGTGGAGGGATGAAGGCTCGAACAAGGCTATTAGAAACGTGGCTGAGCGTAGAAGCAAGGAGCCTGATGAACTTGTCAATGACTGTCTGGGCCATCTAAGCCTCCTGAAGATGACTTCTAGCACGCGCTACACAGTGTGGTAAAGTGATATCCGCGCTTGACCTTTTCTGATGGAACGCCCCTCTGGCTTCAGAAACAGCTGTCTGGGACCGCTAGAAGGAGGGCGATCAATGAAGGGTAACTGTCCAGCACACCAACTTGGCTATCTAGCATCCCGGGTTGCTTTATGAAGAGTTGAAGCGCCGCCAAGGAGACTTAATGTACTCTGCTTATTATCTGGACAATAATTGTTGGGAGTTCAGATCAAGACGAGAATAACGCAGAGATAGCAGCGGAGAGTGAAAGACACTCAATGACACATGCTTAAACGAATACCTGTGGAGTCTACCTTGAGTAGCTCTCGCGGTTCACAATCCGTCCTCAGCCGTTCGTTCGCATCATGTCTTCCTGGCTGTCGCCGAGTTCCCTGAGTTGCGCTGACTTTTGTCCCATCGAGTGTTTTGGCAAGATTATACTTGCAGGGGCACCGAATGAGTCCGGCGCCAAAGTGCTCGGCAGACACTGTAAAGCTGAGCGTCAGACCTAGTCAACCTCGTGGAATGCTGTTTCCTAGGGCCTTTTGAGAGTAATTGCTGCTTTCTTGACATGACGTAGCTAGTGGCAGGCAATCCATGAAGAAGCCTATCATGATTCCATGCTGCGTAGAAGAGCAGTACCAGTCCATACCACCACTTGCTGAGTTGGAAGCGAAGAGCTATCTCGTCTGTACGCCTTGGGGTGAGGACACAACTTTGCACTCTCCATGCGCATCGAGAAATGTATCATCAGTTCATGGCGACCAGAGATAGGGCCATGTGCAGCAGAGCAGAATGTGTGGAACGAACATTGGCGAGATTGAAGCTTGAGAGCTTCCAGTACCTTAGCTGCGACGAGGACATATAGCCAGGCCACTTGTTGAAACGGCGTGGACTCGACAGCTGGGGCACTTGCCCTTTTGAGCCTCGTGATGCGAAGGTCCTGACCCTGATCTCGAGTATTGACAACATCAGGAGATGGAGATGGAAGCACGTGAGGCGAGCCTTTTGAGGGCTAGCTGCAAGCTAGAAGCTGTCAGTCTTTCTAGTCAGGAGGACTGATAGCATGATGCAGAGATTCCCAGAGAGAAGGAGAAGAGGGTGGTTGACTCAGAAATGAGGCACGCAATGCGTTCTGGAGCAGCAACGGCTATTGTTCCGCAAGCTGGAAAAGTCTCGGCTTCTCTGTGACAAAGGAGAACACGAGCCCCTGCAATGCGATAGAAGGGGGGGTTTAGAGAGAATAAAGCACAGCAGGGCCGTCGGTTCGGCTGAATCAAGACACAAATCAGCACATTTGTTTGTTTGAAAAGGCAAGATGATGTTTCGCGAAGATAAAAATGGAAATTGGGGGGGACAAGGGGCTGCCTGAGGCCACGATCAAACAAGGAAGGAGCCATGGAAGCAGCTCTGCCACTATCGCGACGAGACGGGGTCTGAAGTTCCAAGTTGTTGCGGGTATGTATGAGGTACAGGGCACTGGGCGCAATGTCGTACGGGGGCAGGGAGTATACGATACACAGCAAGCCATGCATTGTCGGGTTCGAAATTGTCGAGTCAAGAATTGACGGGCATCAAGTTGGAATCGCAGCATCGCCACGATGCATCGCCGTCGATTCTGTTCTTTTCTTCCATCTGGGCTTCACCTTATCTCGCCTCTGGCAATCACCTGCTCGTACGAGGCTCGTCGGGTGTGGGGGAAACCAGCATTCAATGCCGGTGGTGGACGGTCGCCGTCAATCACAATTTCAAATCGGCGTGCCGAGTCAATGCCACCGATCAAGCCGATTTACGTCGATTTCCGCTGCATTTGGAGAGCTGTTGAGCTTATGACGAAGAGGCTGCGCGAGCTATCGACGCCTGGGTGAGACGGCTGGAATGGGGCGAAGCTGAGCTGATGTCAAGCTCTTGTAGCGGATTGTGAGTTGTAAACCTAGAAAGGCTGATGAACGATGGGTATGGCAGCAATGATGCTTGGATGGATGGATCTTTGCTCCGTTCGGGCTACTGGTGCATTCCAGCCGCTCTCATGCAGGTCCTCGTTCGGGCAACACCACCATCAACTGGGAATTTGCGGCCGATGCTACGATTAGTACCTAGGTAGCACACACAAAGGCATCAAGGCAGCAAGTCAGAATTGTAGGTACTACTACCACTACCTACTATACTACTACTCGTATGCCCGTAATTGAAGCAACAATGATGGATCCCGTCAGTAGTGGCTTAATGGGGCGCGATTATAATGAGGGGCCCCGAATAATTTACCACTGATGTCATCCCAGCTGGACGACGACGATGAGCTTCCAGACCCCTAATTGCGGCTTCTTGGCCCCTAAACGGGCGATGCTGTTGCTGCCTTATCTCGATCCCTTTCCCTTTTTCCTCTTCGTTTCTTTTTCCTCTTCCTTTTCCATATTGACTCTACGGTACTACGCCTCTCGCCTCCTCTGTCGATTGGTACGTGCTTCTCGTATGCCACCGGAGGGGAGCGAGATGGACGGTCACGCTTCTAGCGAGGGGATTCTCCTACCGTCTTTGAGGAGCCGTGTTGTATTATTACCTGCAATGTACCAACTCTCAAACCGTGCTTTGAGCAGCACAGCTGGCTGGAGCTCAGCTGGCCAGACGGACGCGGATTGATTGATTGATTTGATGGCGCTCGTGCATCAAATGACCCGCCCTGGAGCATCAGAGCTAGTGGCTGTAGTGCATAGATTGGATTGCCTGCCTGACTGGGGGGGTCTGTTGACTTTGGTGGTGTTCGATTGGCGTTGGGTTGGGCGCTGAATCTCTGCTAATGCCTCCCGTCTTGAAAGTTGTTTGCTTGGGGGGACAGCTCTTGAACACGGACAGAAAGTGGAAGAGGCTCCCCCCAAACTGATACTACATGCAGTCATCACCAGACGCAGCCACCGGGGCCCTTGCATGTGATGACCCGGGGGCTGTGATGGATCGAGCGAGCAGAAGAGAAGCAAGGCAAGGCTGTAATGGATGCGAGAAGCAGTTATCATGATCATGTACAGGTAGCTACTAGGTAGTCATCACCATCATCACCTGCTTGCTGTAGTACATGCAATAACAGCAGCATCTTGGTACCAGCAGCAGCAGCAGCAGCAGCAGCACTTCCGCCATCGTCAAGCCTCTCTCCTCGCTCTATTTTAGCTGCGTTCCATCCCATTTCCCCCTTTATTTCTCTCTCGACCGCAACGGCACTCGTATTAAAGTTAACCTTTTTTATGCCGCTCCACTCTCGCTTCCCAGCGAATGAACGCCTGCGATAGTCGCATTATTCGCTATTCCAGCATCATCCCATCCGAATAACCTCGCAATTGCTCGCCGTGTTGTTGAATCCCTATTGCTATTGCTGCTCCCCCCCATCGTCAAGCCCGATCGCCTCAGCCTCTTTTTCCCGTCCGTGATCCTTTCTTCCTCCTTCTTCTCCTCATTTTCCGCCCTGCACCCTGACTAGCACATCACCCCGTTTCTGGAGCCCGGCAAATCTCGAATCAGCGCCCATCCTCTCCTCCACCTCTCCTCTCCTCCCCCCCTTGCCCACTCGAATTTGGGCGATACTCCCTGTTGCGTCTGCTGCGACTCTGTCGGCCACGGCCCCCTGTCCTGTCGGGTCCTCGATTGCAGCATCCCCTGCTTCTCGTCGCTGGTTCCTGGGCTCCGCCGTCTAACCAGGTTAAAGGGGAGCGAAGAAGAGAGAGAACGAATCATTCATCAATTTTGCAGAGCCCAGTCGAGTCCAATTTTTTTTTCCTTCTTCTCTTTTCTCTCCCTCCGCTCAGCTATCAGGCTCTCCGATATCACTGCTGGTCTGCCCGCTGCCAAGTCGCCCGTATCCGCCATCAATCACCACCACATCCCAGCGACGACACTCTCCCCAAAACCGTAGAGGCGCATCACACAGATCGGATTGCCAGCCCCAACAAAAGCCGTTCTGCCAGCAATTAGTCGCCTCTGTTCAATTTCTCCTCTCCCCTTCTTTTTTCTTTACAACAACCTGCCTTGATTCTACCGGGCCTCAACCCCTCACTGCATCCAACCGCCACCATGTCTTTCACGGATGAGGAGCTTGACCGCAACTGGCAGCCCAACGGCCGTCGACCGCAATCGTATGTTGGCCACCCTCACTCTCACCCTCAACCTCACCGTCTCCCTCCTCACCCTCACGATGCGACCATTTGATTCGAAGAGCGCATTGGCTGACTGATGTCACGTATCCATCATCTGCAGAACGATTGCCAGGAACTTCCAATTGGAGCTGGAGGACATCTTCAACCTCGACGAGACCAAGGCTGAGCTGCAGCAGTCGTATGACACGAGGTTCGTTTCACCACCACGAGTCACCTCGCCATCACCGCGGCCTCTCTTTTGCTTGCTTACTGACACGCATCTCCCGCCGTCCAGAAAGTACAACGTCGCCAAGACAAACGAGGAGCTCGCCACACTCGAGGCCCGCCTCCGCGAAATGGAACAGCGCCTCAACGCCGTGCTGCCCGCCGACGCCCAGAAGCAGCCCGCCGACGACTCGACCCCCAAGCAGGAAGCCTCGTCTCTCTCCGCGGCGCCCACAGATGACAGTAAGTCCAGATCGCGGCCAGGCACCGCGCGGCCGACCCAGCAAGCCCCCGGCTCTGGTGACATGCCTCCCACCCCCGGGGCCAGTGAAGGTGAATATTACGTTGTCACTCGAGCCGATATTATGGACGACGCCCCCCGCTGACTTTGGCTCTCTCTCTCTCTCTTGGAAGATGGTGATCGCGAGTAAATGAAACCACAACAACAACGGTACAAAGGAAACGGTCTGCATATGATTTGCCTCTGATGCGCCCCCTCGACGACAATTGCTATCCCCTCCGATTGGGCACCATTTCGCGTCAAGCCAACACGCGCGCTGTCTCTCGGACTTGGAATCGAACGGAAACCCCCGAACAGGAGCTTGGACCCAAACACGCCACCCGGAAGGCCGCTCGACACCTCGACACGACGGACAGGGAACCCGCCATCAGCTGCAAATCACACCTCTTTGTCTTTTCCCTCACCATACACTCGCTCAGATCAGGCCTCCAAACATGAAATAAATAAACAGAAAAAAGCACACAAAAAACATATATATACCACGCATCAACTCACGCATCAACTCACACCACCGGGCGCACAACAGCGATCATTCTTACCCCCCCAGTTACACTCGTTTCACAACGACACGTTTCACTCCCGGCGTTATTACAGGTTTTACCATCAAACAACAATCATTGTTTCATCCCAACCGGAGGCTGCATCATTGATTTTTGGGCCTCCTCTCGGCCTAACCCTGCCTTGCCTTGTGCATTTCCCCCTCATATCTGTCCTTTACAATCCAGGAATGGGGGGGTGAGTGACGGGGTGATTTATACATACCATCCAGCACACATCTTACTACACAATTTATACCATTTAATGCACGCACAGCAAAGAACACTCGACACCAGATGCAAAGCATGTTTCTTTCCTTTCACTTACTCTTTTGAAACGAAATGGGCTATACTAGGAAGGGGGAGGGCATCTATGGGAACGGGATGGGCTAGATGGATGGACGGGTGGATGAGGGCGGATGAGGGCGTGCTGGGAAATCCGTGTCACGCCCGAGAAAACCATCCATTGGCCTCTCCCGGTAACGACGGGGCTGGCGGGGAGTGCTTGTATATACCACTTCTAGGATGAATGCAATACATAAAGCTAGAAACACGGCTCGCGTGGGTTCTCTCAATGGCGGAGTGAGGATAAAGGCGGGAAGGCATTGCAATGTGTACGTGTCCCCCTGATTGGGATGAGAGGGCAACTAGCTGCATCATCCATTTCTAACTCGCGTGTGTATCTGCTATACGTACAACATCCTTGGGGGTCTTGCAAGATCTTTGTATCGAGGAGATGCATTACTTGTTTCCGCCTTGAAATATTGCAACTCAGCTCACACTAGTGATGTGGCTCCTCACGGACAAAAGAAACCAAGTGTGAGACATGCTGACGAGTAGCTAACAAAATTCTTCAATAGACGTCATGCAAATCCTTCTTGGCAAAGCCAATGCGACCCTTGTCGAGATCAAACGCCAAGTACAGCGCCTTGAGCATAATGTCTCCCAGCACCGTCACCTTGAGCCCGTCGGCGCTCTGCATCCCTCCCCAGCAAGCCGATGGATCGAGCTCCGAGGGCCCATAGTTGAGATACGGGCCGGGAATGGTGAGGATCCGGTCGGTGCCGGGAATCTTGAGCATCAAGTCAGGCAAGCCCCTGGCGAGCTCGCACGGGAACGAGTAGGCGCCGGACAGCTGGCGGTCGACTTTTGCGCCGGGGACGGCCAGCCAGTATCCGCTGGCCAGGTTGTCGGGCAGGAACATGAGCGTGGTGCCCGTGTCGATGGTGGCCATGAAGGGCTGCGAGTACCAGGGCGTCGTCGGCTGCGCGCCCCAGGTCGTCAGGTTGAACTCGACGTCCCAGTGGGGGCTGTCGGGGTCCGTGTCGACCCAGACGAGGTCTTCCGAGGCGCGGCTTTCGTTGAGGTAGCCAAAGGTGAAGACGCCCGAGGCGTTTCTGTTCATGTCGACGCCAAAGACCTGATGCTTGAGCTGCTGCCGCAGTAGACTGAGAAAGGACGGCGCCGGGGGCTCGACGGTGTTGGGCAGTCGCTTGGCCAAGCCTAGGATGCCGCTCAGTTCAATCTCCTCTTCGAAGCGGCTGGTGACTGCCTTGGCGGACTGGACAGTTGCGTTTTCGACCTTGAAGTCGCCCAGCCAGACGGTGTCGTGGTAGACAATGCCGCCGGCGTGGGTGCCGTCCACTGGATGATGATGAGCTGGGTCAGTAACGGTTTACACGGCCCCCCGCCCCCCCTTGACGCTTATCTGAAGGCGATTTCTTTTCTCAGCACTCACTGTACATGACGGACCATTTGGCATCCTCAATGAGGTGAGAGGTGGTGGACTCGTTGGGGCGATAGAGAGGGGCCCATGGACCTTTTACATTGTACAGATACTCGGTATCGGTTGACTGAAGCCATCTTGACGGAGCTAATCAGCAAGGGGGATCTTGGGGGGCTAGCTGCCGTGATGAGTTGTTTGTTTGACTTACAGATCTGAGGATCCCGTATCCAAGGCCAACTTTACCGTCTGGGGAGGGTTTCCAATCTGCACATCTGCCAGGTAGATATCGTCGCTTCCCATAGGCACGACATCAACGCGGCCAGCTGCAACCAACATCATCAGCCTTCCTTTTTTTTTTTTCTTCTAGAAAAAGAAAAGAAAAGTGTGTACCCAGACCAATGCAAGTCAGACAGACCAAAAAGAAAGAAAAAATAAACTCACGGCTATCACTCAAAGAAAACTTGGTCGCAACCTCTTTCGGCACTCCTCCATGGCCCCATCTGCGATGGGCAGCAGCCCAGTCGCGGACAAAGTCTCGTCGCGAAGCATCGCTTCTGGGCCTCACAGCAAGGGAAAAGCCATGCTGAGATGAAGACTGAAGAGCGTCCGACAAGGGGACGGCGTTGACGGGGGAGATGCACAGGGGGGCGAGGAAGACGAAGACGAGGAGGACGAAGAAGCGCTGCCAGATGATGGCTTCGTGTTTGCCTTGTTTGTATCGAGACATTTGCAGCTCACAAATCATGGAGAAAAGAGGACAAGGTTTGAGAGTAGAGGGAAGAGAGAGAGAAAGAAAAGGGGACTCTTAGTGAGTGTGATTTGCGCAATCTGCTTGCTGAAATGAAACGAGGAGATCAAAGAGCGTTTAAAGGGGAGGGGGGAAGGCAGATGAGAGAGAAGAAGAAGAAGAAGAAGAAGGGGAAGTTCCGTGATTGTTGTACAGCTTGATCCACGATGAAACTCGAGACGAGAGGCCCAGAATGCTGCCAGCTGAAGAGAAAAAAAAGAAAAGAAAGAAAGAAAAAGCTTTCTGTGTGTGGTGTGTGTGTGTGCGATTCCACCGCCGTCTGCAGCTGCCCGTTTGGCACACCTCCTTTTGATCTCACATTTCCTGCTACTACCTTACTGACACACCACCTCGTAGACAATTATCGCTATTGTGCCCTCAATCGATAACTTGAACAGCTTTTGCAGCTCGGCTGCTTGCTACTCTGTATCAAAATATGCTCAAGATGCTGTCGTTTGATATCTACTATAGGACAGGCAGTTATGGAACTGATGGCCTAGACAACACTGTTGTTGCTCCCTCACGACTTGGTGTTTCCTCCCTGAGTAGCAGTAGTAGTACGAACGTGATGCACTCAAGGCACAATCTTTGGATTATGCATAGACGGGTACATACAGCTTCCCGATTAATAGAATGGTTTGTTGACATGGATACCAGGCTTTGAGAGAGGCGGACGGGCCGAGATCGCGGATGAGTGGTAAATGAGCTCTCGTCTAACAGCTGCAGCTTGTACTTTGTTCATAATCATCTGTAGCCTCCATATCACGGTACTTAAGGGAACATCAATGTTTGCAATTTCGATTTCAAATTTCAAAAGCCCATCTATCTAGGTAGCAAAATGGTGACCTCTTTTTCTGTATCATTTTGACCAAGTATATATATACTTCAAACCCAATGTATCAGTAAACGCCTTCAGCCCACCACCATCTTTAGAGCTCGTCATGGCTCGACTTCTCTGTATCTTCCGCCGGCTTCTCCTCTGCCTGTCCGCCCTCGGCCTGCCTGCGGGTCTCCTCCTCCTCCTTCATGTACTTCTTGACCAGCTCCTCCAGCTCCTCGCCGGAGAGGGGCACGCTGCCCTCGGGAAACTCAAACGTCGGGCCAGCCTTGTCGGCGCTCTTCGTCTTGTCCTGCTTCTTCGCCTTCTTGCTCTTGGTGGGCTTCTTGGGCTTGTTCTTCTGGTATTGGGTGTAGCTCTTCAGCGCGAGGTCTAAGCTGGCCTTGTCAAGCGCATCTCGTCTGGCAACCAGCTCGCTGACAACAAGCACGGGCTCTTCGGTGAGAGGAACATCTGCCTGTTGGCGTTCGAGCTTGTTCAGCCACTCCAGAGTCTCCTTGTAGAGAACCTCGAGCGTGTCAATCTCCTCAGAGTTGTGCAGCGGGGGCACGACCTTTTCTGGAACGGGCTTCTCCTCAGCCTCTTTGGGGCTGTCGTCCTCATCCTCGAGCCCTTCAAAGTCGTTGGTCGTCGCCTCGGCGGCAGCACTCGAGGTGGCTGATTCAGCCGACTTGGCTGAAGCTGTGGATTTCCATTCATCATACGCAGCAATCTGCCCACGAACAGTGTCAATAAACACATTTGTGGTGTTGAGAATGTTTCTCAGATCGCTAATCAGACCAGGCCGCTTCTCAGCCTCGTCCAGGCGGTTCTGGATCGGTGCCACGAGATCTTGCAGAGCCTTGAGCTTAGCAACAAAGTCATCTTTCGTGGCCGAGTCGCCCTCCTCATAAAGCCAGTCACTTGCTTCGCTAGCCTTTTCAGAGAGCGTCTGTCGCTCCGCCTCGGTAGACGCGGAGATGAAGGCTTCGTTGTCGACAAGGTCGCGAACCTTGTAAGTGAATGCTTCGAGCTGGTTCAGGGCCTCTTCGCGCTGCAGCCTGGCCTTGTCGGAGGCGGCGAATGCCTTCAGTCGATCCTTGGCCTTGGTCCACTCGGCCTTGGTAAGCTGAGGGATTCCAGCCTTTTCCAACGTGACTTCGACAGGGATAGAAACAAGCTGCTTCTTCTTGACTTCCTTTGCAGCCTCTGTTGACTCGGCAGCATCTCCGGACTTGGTGGTGCTGGTGGAAGAGGAGGACTTTGTCGCAGAGCTAGCTTCCTCCGTCTCGGCCTCAGAATCCGCAGACGCATCGGCACTGTCCTTGTCTCCTCCTTCGGCGAGGGGCTTCTGATCTTTCTTCCCGAAGCCAAAGAGGTTCTTAACGCCGTCAACAAAGCCTTCCTTCTCAACGACTTCAGCCTCGCACTCCACAAAGGCCTTGACGATGGCAACCTCGCCGTTCTCGGTACGGAGCTTCGCGGCAGCCTTGAACTGAACGCCAGTATCGGCACAAGTGGGATACTTTTCTTTCAGAGCAGCAACAGAGGCGGTAAGGTTCTTAGTCGAGAACGACTTGACGGGCTTATCCTCAGTGTCAACTTGTTGATAGAATAAACCAGTAAAGTCCTCCTGTTCCGTAAAGGTAATCTCCTTGGCCGGGCCACCGAGCGGCGACGGGGCAGTCCAGAGTCGTTGGCGGTGTACCTTGCCGTTCGCAGCCTTCCAAGTAATGCCAGCTGCGTAGTTTGCACCCTCAGAAATCCTAATCTCCTTCACACGGAAGCTTGGGCTGAGCTCAGCAGCCCGGAAAGCAGCACCAAAGACGGCTGCCTCATCAGAGTTGACATTGGTACGGATCTTGTCGCCAGAACCAAGAGCTTTCTCAATGGCCTCTCGCACAAACGGAGTACGGGTCGCACCACCGTGAAGAATGACGGAAGTCAGATCGCCAATCTCGAGGTTCGCGGCCTTCAGAGCGTCCTTGATGGCAGCGTTGACTCGCTCGACATGAGCCTTTGCCATGGTCTCGAAGTCAGCCCGAGAGATCTTGTACTTGAAGTCAACATCTTCGTACAGTCCCTCAAAGCTGGCTTGGGTGTTCTGGTTGGCGCTGAGGACGTGTCGGAGACGCTCGGCTTCCTTGCTCAGCTTTGCAACGGCGCGGCCATGAGACTGAACCTGCTCGGCGGTTGCCGAAATCTTCTGAGCACCCTTGGATTCCACAAACTGAGCAATCATGTCATCGATGATTAGCGAGTTGAGAGAGTCTCCTCCGAGGGTCCTGTCCCAGCCGCTGCCGAGAACCTGGATCTCCTGAACCGTCTTGTTGAACTTGCCGACGTCCTTAACCGTACGGCTTTGGAACCTCATGACCGTAGCAGTTGTGGAGCCCGCTCCCATGTCAAAGACCAAGTGGTATTCCGGCTTGGCGCCTTCGTTGATATTCGGGAATTGGCGACTGGTGGCATAGTTGAGGCCCACGGCCAGTCCGTCGCTGACAAGGCTCAGGACCTTGAAGCCGGCGAGCTCTGCTGCCATCTGCAGGGCTCGCTTCTCCTCGATGGTGTAAAACGGCGGGACGGTGAGCACGATGGAGCGTATCGAAGAGTCGCCGCCAGCGGTAACCTCTGCGTTCTTCTGGATGCTCTGAAGCTCCATGGCCAACAGCTCCTCCACCATCCAAGCCTCCTCTTCCGGAGACAGCGTCTCCGTCTTGAACGCAGCAGTTCCCCGCGTGGGGTGCGCCTGTAGCTTCAACGCAGGGTGCCTGGCCGCATATTCTTGGACAATGGCATCCCCCACTGGCAGTCCAAGCAGGGGCTTCAGATTCGGGTATACTTCGCCGGGGAATCGTGCGGCGAGTGCCATTGCGTCGGCGCCATAGCTCCGTTCGGGGTACTGGCCCTCCGGTAAGGCGCCCTTTGCCGGCTTGAAGGCGACGGCCGAGGTTTCTTTTCGTCGGGAATCTTTCGTGAGCACAATCTCAAGCGGGATGCCGGGCTTCACCAGCGCCGCCTTGATGTACTCGGTTCCCAGATCGACTCCGAGAACAGCGGAGATGGCGAGAACGTTGGTGGAGAAGAGAAAGGCGGCTCCGAGGAGCTTCAGCAACGGTGATTTCCTCGGTGACTTCATGGCTGTGGTTGGGTTGTATAAGCGCAGGTATCCGAGTCGAGTAGAAGATGCTGTCGAGGCAGCGGAACCCGGATAGCCCAGGCCCAACAGATGTACTAGCCCTCAGGACTGTAGAGGAGGGGTCGGGGTGGCAGAGATCAAGCTGGAATTTATATAACGGGAGCTTTGCAGCGCCAAGAAAAAGACTGCGCCGCACGGCAGATGTGGCCTCAAGCAACAACTCTAGCGGGTTTCCAAACGTTTGCCCGTGAGAAGAGGACAAGTTTCAGTCAACGAGGAACAAGTCGAGAGGTTGCTGGTCCATCAACAGACAACCTGCGAGGCTGATAGCGGATAAGGCCAGGTGGCGGACAAAGTACTGCTGCCTTTCTGGGACTAACGCGCCCACTCCACGTTTTAGAGGTGACGGCACTGGCATCGAATAGAGGCATCTAGAATCTCGTGCCTTATTATTACCTAAGGCATCCAAGCCCGTCTTCCCTCTGCCCCGCTAACCGCCTTGGGGAAGCGGTCTGGGGACCCCTGCTACCTTTGCTCCCCTCACACCAAAACGCCATGGCTCACCTTGAATCCACGCCAACTCCTTTCGGCCAGACCCCAGCTTTCTTCTTTCTTCACTTATTATCAGCGACTGTTTCTACAATAGCAACGAACACTTTGATGCCGAACGAGACGGCCTTGAAAGGCTCTTTAAGTTTTCCACAGTCTTAGCCTCTCAAGCATCTATCAAACCGCAAGTCCCTCGGTGAGGCGTTATACGTGCTCCATTCGCGGCTATTCCAACCAACTTGACCCTTTGACCTGAAGAGCTGGAGGGGTCTTATCAAAAGCTTAGTACCTACCTAAAGTTCCCCGTACCATGGATAGAACTTCAGGCTAGGTAGTAGATTGTAGAGAAGACAACCGCTTCCTTCTGATGATTGCCCATGTAGAGAACGGAATCTAAACTCCATTCAGTGTCCCCCAAGGCAGAGAGTATAGTTCACAGAAGCACCAACAACGAAATCGACATCCATGCAATCCTCGTGGGCAACTCTTATATAGTTTTTCCTACTACTTATGGATACCAGTAGCCTGCTTCAAAGATGCTGCACGTCCCAAGAGCCATGAGGATTTACAAAGGTGCTTATTGAAAGAAAAGCCGTCCCAACCGCATCCCTTGCCGCCAGAATGAACCCGAGAGAGCCTGCCAGCTTGGGCAAGCTCCAATGCAATGCCTAAAATCACCCTAACTCAGCTCCGCCGATGTGGCCGGAGAAACCAGGTAACGCCATCATGTCGTAATGTTACAATCCACCTCCCGAGGGGGTGCGCAGAGAAGCAAGAAATCTGATGGAATCTTACCCACGAACCGCGAGCGCGAGCTCTACGACTCGTTGCGGCGAGGACCTCGGAAGGGGGCGCCGCCGCGGTCACCGCGATCACCTCCGCCGCGTCCGCGGCCACGGCCACGGCCATCTCCACGGTAGCCACCTCGGCCGCCTCGACCACGTCCTCGTCCTCCACTGCCCTCACGATCCTGTCGGCCGCGGTTGCGCTGGACCTGGTGGAATCCATCGTTGGCATCGGCAGGAGCAGATGGAGCCTTAAAGAGTGACATGCGTTAACGACTTGGCTCGAACGTGCAAGGAAATTCAGCGTGACATGACACATACCTCGGTGACGGGATCGGGGTGGTCGTCCGCCCACGATTGCTTCTTGGCCTCAGTAGCAGGCTCTGCAGGAGTCTCTGCAGGAGCCTCGGCGGGCGCCTCCGCAGAAGGCTCCGCGCTGCCCTCAGTCGACTCAACAGGGTGGGTAACGTCAACCCACTCCTGAGAAATGGAGTTATCGTGATTGCTGGTATCCCAGTGGCTCTCAGCAACTGCGTTCGCCGCATCATCCGCAACGGCAGCATTAGCAAGGCCGTTGGAAGCAGGCTCGGCTGCCACAGCCTCATGGCCGTTGGTCAGAGCACCATCTCCAGCTGCAATCTCAGTCGCGGCCTCGTTCGCAATGGTAGGGTCGGTGACAGTCTCGGTGGCTGGCTGTGCTTCGGTGTAGGATGGAGCATTGTAGGTTTGTGCAAGCGTCTTGACGGCGGCATCTGTTTGATGAAGCAGTTAGCAACCCACATCAAGACAACAACCCCTGTCCGCCATGGCACATACAAGTTGTTTGGAGCTGCTCTCCAGGAACACTGAGGATTTGCTCGTCAGAACCGTCAATCAGCTTCTTCATGGCAGCGACGGCATTCTCATCGCCAGAGTAAATGGCAAGCAGGACACCCTCGATAGCCTGGCTCTCGTCAGACTCAGGGTCCTGAGACTCTTCTCGACGGTAGGCGGCCAGACGCAGGAACTGCGACAGAACGAGGAGGTTGGCGTTCAGGGTGCTTTCAACGCTAGCCTTGACCTCATTGACTGCCTCCTCCTTGGCCTTCTCGAGCGACTTGGCCCATTCTGCCTTGTCGGCAGCCGCTCGTGCCTGGTATTGCTCGTGGACCTTCTGGAACTGAGCCAGCTGCTCCTCGTACTGGGCCAGCGCCGCCTGGAGGGCAGGCTTCTTCAGAATTTGGGCTCTTTGGTCATTGTTGAGAATCTTCTCGGCGACGAGCTCATCGAGAGACTTGCCAGCGTGCTGGCTGAGCAGGGAATCCGTCTTGGAAGCGTTGGCCTAGACCAGATGGAATGTCAGTTTCGCAAAGCTCGACAGGGACGATGTTAGGGTATGACGCAAGTGGGGACCTACCAGCTTCTTGGCCGTGTTGCGGATGTTCCTGAGGAATCTTGTCAGCAGCCGCGTTCATGGCAAGGGGGGCAGCCCACGCGGTGTCTTACTTCTGCAGCTCCTTGATGTAGGGGCTCTCGAAGGTCTCCTCCTGAGCCTCGGCTGCCTTGTCAGCGGGGCCAGACTCGGCGCTGGGAGTCGGCGACTCGTTGCGGGCCTGAGCCTTTGCGGCCTTCTTCTTGGCCGACTTGGAGACGGGTTGGGTAGCCGAAGCAGCCATGATGAGGGGACGGGTGCAGAGACGAAGGTCAAGAGCTGCTCGCAGCCTCAGTAAGGTGCAGATTGGCGTGGGAGGTGTCGTGTGCGGGTGTCCAGCGAACGTGGGTGCGCGCAAGGCTGGGAAACCAGGAGGGGGTTCGAGTGATGCGAACGCGGGGTGCAGAGAAGAGCGTTCGAGTCCTAGGAGACGGGCTTGGGAGACGCGGTAACGATGACAGGGAGGAGTGCAGAGTGCAGAGGCGTGCAGAGTTGGGGAGACGGGAGAGTGATGTTTTCTTTGAAGGGGGTTGTTCAGGTGTGGAGGCGGCTTTGTTTGTGTCGGGTTGTCTTTTTTAGCTGGACTTTAAGGTACCAAGCAAGGCGTTGGGAGGCTGAAGGCGTAGTGAAGTCAATTAGAGGCCCACCCCCCTGTGCAGCCGGCAGCTGTCACTGCGTGTCTCCTGGGCAGAGGGTCTGGGCTCAAGTGTCTGGCTTCTAGAACCAAACAGAACATAGGGCTCTCGGCGGTGGTCGCGAGTTTACAGGTGCCAGACACTGCCCAGGTGCTGAGAACTGCCCACTGAAATGCTACAAGCAAATGCTAGACGCTGTGCTGCGAATGTTTTGGCAAGAGTCCTCCTATTTGCACCGTAACAGATTCCTATTTGAACCGTAATAGTCTGTGCCACCAGATAGACCAACCCCCTAGGTAAGATATCACACACCCAAGCACCAGAATACAGTGTTACACACTAGAAGTCTTTACCGTCAGAGATATCATAAAGTACCTAGTAAAGGGCATACAGGATTAACACCAGGATATTTACTACTTCTACTGCTGCCTCTGCTACTGCCTCTGCTGCTGCCTCTGCTGCTGCCTCTGCTGCTGCTGCGGCCGCCTCCTTCATCCTGGGATGATGATAAGTGCTGCCGTTAATCTCGCGCTGTAATTAAATGGCCAACCGCAATAAGGTCGACTTTGAGGTCGGCTGTGATAGTTGTAAATACTGAAGCCGTGACCTTGTGTGGTGGGTGTTATGTGAAGACAAGCATGCCATTATCTCACACTGTAGTTAGGTGTGCAGTAATGGACTTGACAGTGTGTGTGCAGTAATTTTGCCCTGTGCACAGACCACTACGGTTCAAATAGAGATATGCTACGGTGCAAATAGGAGGACTCTTTGGCAATTAGTACTAGCGCTCAATTGCTCGTTCGTCGCCAAACAGAGCTTCGAGTTTCTTTGTTGACTTGCTCTCGCTCAATTGCCCCCCTCACGTGCCCCCAACTGCCGGGCCAACCAAGTAAAACAAGGTGGGATGTGAGGCATCAATTCGGCGCCTTGTTCGTAGCCGTACTATTTCAGTAGCGCGATTGAGCCTGACGTCGTTGCCCCATACGGACGTACTGCACCTATCCATGTACTAATATGTTCACTTGTAGACATTTGCTCTTCTTCTCTCTTTACTGCATACCTTTGGTCTTCAGTATGATGCAGTACCTAGTATATAAGGTAGGTAGGTACAGGTATTGGGCGAATATGATAATTCCAGCCCTGCTAAGTATTCCCCTGCTTCCATTGACCCAAATCATGCCCTATGTGCCCGTTGAAGATCTGGGAGTTGTAGGAGAGAAGCTCTAAACGGCCAGTGATCCCAGGATCAAGCACGCCATACATTGCAGCCCAGACAGACAGCGCTCACGACTCCCATTCCCAGGTGTTCGCGTCGCCATGGCGTTGATCCTCTCCCAAATACTAGGTATGTTTCCCAGTCCCAGCAGAACTGTGGCATGCGGCGCAGGCCAGCCAAGCTTTCCACAGCCTTGCAGGTACATAGCTCAAACGAAGAGCCTTATCATCACTCCTGTTCAAATACCATCGATCCATATATCAGCCCTTGAATTTGGCTAAAGCATCCTAACGAAAATAAGTCAGCATCTGTAATGACTTCTCAAGCATAAGAGTTTGGGGCTTGCATACTCGAGTCGCCTTTCGCACACTCCTAGCCGTCAACCCCCGTTCTCCCGACTGCTTCGCATGTATAGCCGCCTCCTTGATCAACCTGCGAGCCAGAATATCGTCAACGTCGGCAACCTAAAGCAAAGGCCCCTTGCAGCCACTCAATGCGTCACACACACACACAAAAAAGAAAAAAACACACCTATTCATAAACAAGACATAATTGAGATAGATCTTTGCACCATAGTCAGCGCCCGCCACCTGCTTTGGCCACTCTCCCTACAGAGGCAAACGCGTCGCCATAAGGGGCCATACCGTAATGTCTGTGTTTTTCCGAACGTTCATGCCCGAATGCGCCTTGACAATCTTCTTCAGCGTAGCCTTGGGGTAAGGCTTCTTGCCTGCCACCATGGTGGCTGTTTTGGTGTCGCTTCGGAGATTGCCTTGCTATGGTGAGCGTGCAGCTGTCATGTCTGTTGTGTCTTGACAGCAGCGCGTCTCACGAAGTCCGGTTTACAGACAGTGGCCGGTGTCTTTAGCATCTGAATCATGACGGCCGTACTGTGTGCATGCAGCAGAAGACTGTGACGATGCACTGTCTTCCCCACCATAGTTCCATCCTCCCCACCATTCCCCTCGGACCCCAAGATTCGTTGCTTTTTGATGGAAGAGCAGAAAAGGTCCTTACTTAAGGGATCAAGGCAAGTCTACAGAACGAATTGAGCTCAGTCTCGACATCCCTGCCCACCATGGCTTCATTAGTACAGCGCCGAATGGTACGTCGACCAAAGCATCCCCCCCCCCCTCCCCCCCCTCAGGGAATACGCGCGCAACAGCTCACAGCTCCTTCGATAGCTCTCCAAGGAGGACGAAGAGGGCGATGGCGTCGAAGTCCGACGCGAAGACCAAGACAAGATCAACAGGTTCAGCCGCCTACACCAGCGCGAAATCGCCCTCAAGGAGGAACTCCAGCTCAAAAGCGTAAACGCTCAACCTCCCCCAATGCACACAACACACACACGCGCACGCACACGCACACGCACAAACGCCGACCATACATACTGACGAAGCCTCATTCGCGCGCGCGCGCACAGAAAGAAAAGGAAGAGCTAGACGATATCTCGACCGAGCTCGAACTCGCCGACGAAGACGAAAAGATACCGTGCGCTTATTATCCCCCTCTCCGCTCTTTACGCCGATGTGAATGTTACGAAAAGAAGCTCCGGTATGGCTGACGTTGGTTTGTTGGGGTGGCCCGCAGATATAAAATTGGCGACGCCTTCTTCCATCTCTCTCTCGAACAGGCACAGGAAATGCTCGGCGCCGCTACGACGCGAATAGACGAAGAGACGACCGCCCTGGAAGAAAAGCTCGAGTCTATCCGCGAGGAAATGACGCAGCTCAAGGTCGAGCTGTATGGCCGGTTTGGCAAGCAAATCAATCTGGAAACGTGAAGAGACACATATATGATACACGTCAACTTCAACAACTTTTCGCCCCCCACCCTTCTACACTACCGTCATGTATATACAGCAACCTTAGAATCCGAACCAGACCATGTCATTACACGTTTGCGCCAAGTTTCTGTCCAGAGAACACATGTACCAGAAAGCTCATTGCGGGGAATGCTAGGATAATGATATACCTTTCACCAACAGCTCAGATGGTATTCCTTATCGTTGAAGAGAACGGTATACAATTAGCCATGATCTATCTCCATATGTATATATGTGCTCTCTTACCTGAAATTGGTTTCATTAGCACAACCATTTTGAGCTGTCAGCATCACAGACATAGGCAACAACAAATTGTACGGTATATGCCAGTCGGTAATATGCTCTCAACACTCAAACATGACTATATATGATACATGACCCATTTCCGTATCGCACTTCAACCGGTTTGGTGTACCATCATCACTCACAGCGTGAGGCTTAGGTCGTGCTGCGTACTAGGTACTCATCAATACGATAACCCATATCCATCTCTTCATAGTATTCTGGCTAACATACTTCACATTGGGGTAACAAAACGCAGTCTCCCCCGTATAGTTGCACTGTTCCAAACAGTTGCCATCAAGCTCTGAGATTACCCAAGCTGAGGGACTGCACCATGGATCGACCAGCCCAGGTAAGAGCCAGGTTCCTGCTCCTTGGCACATCCAATGCCGATTGACACCGGCGTAGCACTCGTACATCACTCATGACTGATACCGAGCCAGCGCTTGCCAGCTCTTCGTCTTTGCCATTCTCGATTTCCGGTTGAATATGTGACTGTATAAGCACGTTGGTTGTCAAAGCGCCCCCGGCGCAATCATCAGAACAAGATCCCTGCGCTGGCTGACCTGCTCCAACTTGCATGGCAGACTTGGCAGTGTATGGTGGACGCGCAAGCTCGGGGGCTTTCTTCGTTTGCGTTGCAGAGGGCGGGCAACATGATCTTAACTCAACAGATAAATGTTGCTTCGGAGATACAGTGCCATAGTCTGCTGCTTCCATGGTTACTGGCGTCCAAGGCTGCGTGTCCGTGCGTACCACTTTGGGCCCTATATTCTCATCTCGTCGTTCCCGAAGCTGGAATAGCTGAGCTTGCCTCCCGTTGTCGTGAGACGACATCAGCTTCCTCAGCCCAGACTTGACGGCTTTTCCGAGCTTGCCTGGGCGGAAACGTGATACTGGCTCCGGAAGGAGAATTGCCGGAATAGAAGGTCTACCAGCATCTGATGGAAGCTGACGAATGTCGGTATTCACAATGCTTACTTCACCTGAATCGGGAGCCAGCTTTGTTAGTCGCTTCGGAGCCTTGGACGATTGAGACCTGAGAGTGGTATTGGATGAAAAAGCGCCATGGATATTGGTCGTCCATTGCTGAAGAATCCCACGTGAGGAAGGTTGGGTTTCGTCAGGCAAGAGTTCCGAATGAGGTGTCAGTCTGGACGGTTCAAACAACCCCGATTGCCGTGTTCCCAGTGGCGCCTGGTAATCATACACACGCGCAAGTGTCGCCGGGCTCACTTCACTCGGCGCAAAGCTTCCCTCATCGCCTCTTAAAGGTGCGAATGTGCCAATAGAGGCCTCCAGTCGCACACCAATCGAGTTTGCACAGCCCAGTGCCAACTGGCTCTCCTCACTCGAGAATCGTCTGCTCGGCGCCGTACTAAAGCTGGTAGAGCTATATTTGGATCTTCTTGGCACTGAGTGGTTGATCTTTGCCTTCAATGAACGGCGGCCAGGCCCAATAGAACTTGTTTGAAAGTCTTCTTTGAAGCGGCTACCAAAGTTCAGCGAGGGTCTCTTGCGTGAGAGGGCCTCGCCAACTCTGGACGCAATGGTTGACATCTTGACTCCCCGCTGATTGGAACTCGCATTATCAGAGTGATCCAAGGATACTGCATCACCAGAAGCTCGCGCCTGAGGGCAGTTGATCCAAGCACTGCTGGCATTGTTATCAGAAAAGTAGATGTCATCTGCCGCCGTGACATATGAGCTCATCCCCTCAGATGCCTTTGATTCCTGGATGACGGAGAAGTTGCCTTTCCCTGTAGTGGACTTTGTTAGTGTAGCTCAATGCACAGAATTAGCATGTAGGTCATAGGGCTCAAGTACATACAGCTGAAGGGCGAAAGCTCAAGACTCTCCAGGTCTTCTGCACTAAGATGATGAAAATTGGACTGTGATCGGTTCGGGCTTGGTTGAAAGCTTGGGAGAACAGATGGATAGTTCGAGGAGCTGTGGTCAGGTGGCCTTGCTGCAGCCATGTCAAAAGTTCCCGATCCCAAGAGTAGGCTTTGGCCAAGCAAAGTGGCATCAGCATCGGTTTGGTCGCGGCCACTGGAAGAGCTTGAGGTGATTGATGCGGTTTCCAGACATCGCTCCCGGCCTAGGAGCAACCCCTTTCTAATTTTCGGACACCGAGTGGGCAACGGAGCATCTGCAATACTATCAATGCCGCCAAAATCCTCCTGGGGCGAGAAGAATGGGACCCTAGCATCCCCATCATTCGCCTCGCTGTCTCTAAGGCGGATGGAGCTGCTTCCGGATCGCAGGCCCTGGGCAGCGAGCCAAACGCCAAGAGCAGACTGTTCCTCCCAAGCATGAGCTCCATGGCGAATGTCAAACTCGCTATCTGCCCCCAACACACGACCCAGACGGGGCATGTTCGAGCATCCTGTCAACTTTTGTGATGTAGCGCTGTGTGTACTTGGCGGTCGTAAGGGGAAAGTCTGACCCCATTCCTCCAAACCAGATACTGTTGATATAAAGGAAGGCTTTGTCGGTCCGTCCACTTCTTGAGAAGACACGCATTTGTCGTTTTGATGAGAGTCCATGGAGAGGGAATCCTGTGCTTGCGCTGAGTCCGCATGAGGCCCGTCTGTAACGGTCACGGTGAACTCAATGGTATCCCTGGGGCCAACCCTTGGCTGCCCAGCGTCGATGAGGGGGGAGAGATAGCGAGTGCTGCGGTGGGACGTGTTGCTCGACTCAGCATTGTTCTCTTCGCTCTTGAGCTCGTCTTGGATTCTTTGATGTCGGAATCGCCTGAGCTCGGCTCTTCGAGCAACTTCCTCTTGGCTGTGGCCCACAGATGCGCGAGACCGGCGGTTTGCCTCCGTTTCCGGCGAGATGTGTCGGATGAGCTTCGTGCGAACGACATTCAAGGCGCTACTTGTCTTCGTCAGGGGATTAGCTTCATTCCCTTCGCCATCGGAGTCATCCACCACCAGCTGTCCCAGTTCGGTCGGGTCCTCCAGGGGTAGCTCGGCAGGCATCAGCGAGGTGTCCCGAGACCGAATCGGCAACTCGATCGAATGGCACGGCTGATGAATAGCAACACTCCGCCTCGTACGTTGCTCCTTGGGAGCATCGGTGAGTTCAACGTCATCTGCAGACTGTCGGCCTTGACGACGAGAGCCGCAGCAGAAGAAGATGGACATTTCGTGAACGAAAGGAATGGGCTGTCGAAAGAGAGTGTATGACCGCCTGTCGAGGCTGTTGAATAGCTAAGTGTTGACTAAGAGCCTGAAATTGCGAAATCAAAACGAATTGTGGTTGCCCGTATCAAGGTAGAGAGATACCTAATAAGCGATCAAATTCGGCTCACCTTTGACCGTGAATCGTGAGAATGTGATCGAGGGGTGTGGAGGTCTGTGAATTTGAGATGCCTGAGCAGAAGAAAACAAAGGCCATGGTGACTGCCGTTTCTGAACCTCTTGGCTGATGCGTTCAGAGAAGGCAAGAAGCGGCGATTGCTTGAGGAATTAACCTTTGGAGGGATTTATCACTCTACCTTTCTAGGGACTCGGGGCTTCTCTTTCCCATTCGGCGCCACCTTCTCCCAGATATACCTATGATTTGACTCCATTCAGGAACAAATACCAAGATAGGCATCTTCCCCAGGATGGAGAGGCACGAACTGAAGGGAAGGGAATATTAATTGATGTGTTGATCAAAGGTGGGCGTTAATGTGAGGTATACTAAAATTGGGAAATTGATATCCAACGCCAGGGTACTTGCTTTCTACACACACAGGTAAGGTACTACAACATTCCTCCACCGGGTACTGATGCTGTTTCATTACGAAAAACGTGACTGACCCTCAGCTTGCAGCAGGGTTACACCAGGTCGCCGACAAAACCCAGCTTCTCCCTGTTCTCGTCACAGATGCGAGCCCACTCCAGCAGCAGCCGCCAGACATACAGCGCCATGTCTTCTCGCCTCAGAACCTGCTCTGCCCAAACCCGACCAGTTTCCGCGATGAAGCGAGCAGCTTCATCACCTTTCCCTCCCGGTCCGTCGGCGAAAAAGTTGAGAACCGAATACAGATCCTGGAAAGTGTTGTCGAATGGTGCAAAGTGCATCCAGGGGATGAGGCGGTCATCGTGCCACTCGGCATACACCGTCGCCTTAAGAGGCATGCTTGTTGAGCGGAGAAAGCCGCGGTATCGAGCGCTGAAAGAGTTGCCGTCGACGTCGGGGAGAAACTTGTAGTTGTATTGTTCCTTCATCGGGATCCGGTCAACCTCATGGTAGTAGGGAACAAGAAAGGGGCATTCGTCGGGGGGGCAGAGATTGACGAAGCCAGCATTCGCATTCTCCTTGAGCCAATGGCCAATCTGTCCGTGAGATAGACGCTCGCTGTTGTACAGCCTTCGTGACGGCATCTCGAAAGTGGGAGCTCGTTCGTCCTTGTCTTCCATCTGACTGACAGTTGTGCCGTTGAGCATCTGAACGAGCCTGTGGCGGTGAAAGTGCTTCCACATATCTTCGCCGGCACGGCCACCAGAAGCCTCCCCTCGCCAAACGACGCCGTCCCTCTTCTCATTCCATGGGATGCCGTGAAACTCTCCTCCGGCGTAGAACTCGTCGTTGACAAGATACATGGCTCCAGGGATGAGAATCTCGTTGTTTGCCAGAAGCTTAGACCCGCCGAACAAGGGAATCAGCTCCTGTGTAGTCGACAGGCTGACGGGCTTGACGAAGGTCCCGTGCAGTTGGCGCAAGTAGGGCTGTTGGCAAGCATCCATGGAGGCTCTCCAGTCCTGAACAAAGCCTTTGTAAGAGTGTGGTGGATTCCATTCGCTTGGGAAGTCTGCAGGGCCGGTAAAGTCCGAGATCTGCTCAACGCCGTGGGCAGGTGTATCTGGAGCGCAAGTCTTGACGAACAAGTCCCAGTAGGAGCCATCGTCAAAATTGAGCCATCTTGGATCGTATGGCTCGAGTTTCGCAGCGTCGATATGCTTTAATCCTTTGAACTGAGTTGTGACTTCTTGCACAGGTGTCATCTTCCTGCTCTCCTTTTCCTTCTGCCGCAGCTTTGTGATTTCGTCGAACGGGACAAGTATTCGGGATTCGTCCATGTAGTTGATGGGCATGTCAACATCGGGCAAGTGTTGGGCGAATTCGGCGACGAGCTCTGTCCAGAGTTGCAGCCATATCACTTTGCCTTCGACGTCTCCCACGCCTTCTGCTGTCCCGTTACGCACCTTGACCACCCACCACCAGGCACTCGACCGTCCTGCAATCTCGTCTGCCTTGAGGGACCAGTAGGGGGCCAAGTCCGTGTAGATACGGTCAAAGAAGTCCTCGACAATGATGGCATTGCTCTCGATGGCGGCTTCAACCCACTTGTCAAAGCCTGGCGGCGGGTGTCTTCCTCTTCGCTCTCGATACCTGGCAGCAGCGCTTGTGAGGTTGCCACTGCGCTTCTCCATTAACTCTTCATGGCGAGCCTTTGCGTCGATCATGAGCTTTAATATGGGGTGCTCAAGCCAGGTCGAGAATGAGCCCCGACTCAAGTCAGGTTGAGGATCGTTTCCAAAGTCGGTCCATAATCTATAACTCGCAAACAGGAACGCAACCGCAAACAAGACGCTTAAAGTTTTAACAGCTGCTTTTGGGTATAAACCCAGCTGGCTTCGAAGATTCAACATAAGGAACGTGGTGAAAGCAAAAAGGAACCCAGAACAGCACGAGGAAAAAGCAACGACGGGGGAAAGAGGACGGCAGAACACGGCCTGCTGAAGACAAACGGCACGGAGTCAGGGCCTTGTGCCCACATGTATTTTGACCATGGAGCAAGGGTCGTTTCTATTTTGTCTTTTGCTTACGCAGCTGTGTGGATGGACATGAACTAGTCGTGACAAACCTTTCCGCGGGCCGTCAAATACGAAGTGTTGTATGCAAGTGCTGTGGAGGCTTACACGGAGTAGCAGAGGCGGCTGCCAGGGTTCGGCAACGTTAAATTCAAGCATCTCTGTTGGCGGTTTCGAGTAATAATCAGGCAAAGGGATTGAGTCAGTACCATCATTCTACCATGAGTCTGCTGAGTCTCAAACTTGTCATTCAGTTTATTTGGAGAGAACATTGTGTTGGGTGCCAAGACATAGGCCAAAGAAGAGAATTGCCGCTCTCCGGACGATATCAGATCGAGGTCTTGGCAGTTTCTCGAACTAGGTTAGTGAGTAGGCGTACCTCCTTTTTCAAATTATTCGTCTTGATTTGGTATTGAAAGGCAAATCGGTATCATTTCATTCTACACAGGTTCTGGCTCTAATACTAGGTACCTGTTGTCTACTCCCACAGGGAAGTCAAACCTTCCAATGCTCTCTTTGGGGGGTCGTTTTACCACTTGATAGATTGACAACTGAATGTTGGTTGCGCAGTGCTTGGCACAGAAAGCAACATGAATCATGAGAGTAGTGACACCATCCAACGACTGTCGAGCTATGTGACTGGAACACGAATCAACAAGATCACTTCGTCCGAAGCCCCTCTTGATAGCAGCTCAAGATCAGCCAAGCGCCGTCCCAAAGGAAACAGAAACTGCGAGTCTTCTTCAAGGCTGCGTTGTCTTCGTAGTATATAATAGTGTTGCCTGAAGGCTCGTCATATGAGAATATTCTCAGAGTTGGGAAGGGTGAGAGAGGTTTGGCTCTTATCTTTCCACGCTCTCAACAAACCAATTTTCAACTACTACCTTACGCGTACACCAATTTACCCCATATTTGTCCAGCCAAACAACCTGTTTTTTATATTGGAGCAGCCCAAAATGGGATTAGCCGCCGGCACAAGTGCTCTTACGCGCGGCAGAAGCACCAGGAAGAGACTATGATCCCTGAGTCTGTCCAGTCGCGATTCTTACGGAACAAGGATATATCTCCGAGTGAACCCCAATCTAGGAGACGTTGGACTTTTGGATATCTCAAGTATAAAAGCTCCAATGTTCGCCGGCCGCATTCATCTGTAAGACTTACTGTAGACGAACATGAATAATCTCCCATAGCTTGGTTTATCAAACTGGCGAAGAAATGTACCGCGGTCTTCCTGTTGCGTTTGCTAGGGCGTGATAGTGCGCCCCCCACGCTTTCAATGCGATACTTCTCGAGACATTGGCTGGCTTGAGTGTATTGCGCCTTGTCTTGTTTCAGTGGTTGGTTTGCATACCATGAACAGCGTGGCGAGACAAGGGAGACTCAACCCAATGGCTGAGCCTTGCACAGAAGAGCAAGATGTCTTATCGGAACTTGCTGCTCCCTTGGCGGGGGTTTCGGAATGCATCTACAACCCTCGCGATGGGTCGGTTGTTGTTAAGGCCAACAATTCTCTATGTCGCCTCCCACTACAAAAGAGTTTAGCAAAACCGATGGTGTTGAAAAGAAAGACTCATGTCCCTCCTGTCTCATCGCTCACAGCCAGCTTCATCTCTCGAGAGAAACAGAAGAGTACATGATCCTGGTCGCATTCGTCCGAGAGCCGCCATATACACCCGCAAGCCTACCGAAAAGCGCAAGTAAATCCGCGTTACACGTGTTTCGCACCTTGAGTCACGCTTGTCAGACACCTTCGCAACAATGAAGAGCTTCGCTTCCGCGGCGTGTCTGAGTATCTTGCTCGCGTTCACTTACACCGTCACCGCCCTGGATGGGCAGCTTTGCTTTGAAACTTGCTACAGGCCGGCTATAGAAGAGCAGTGCCCTGATGCGAGCCTTGACTGCGTCTGCAAGAACGAGCAGTTTATATCGCTTCTCAATATGTGTATTCAGCGGACATGCCGGGAATCGCTTTGTAAGTTATGTTGCTCTGGCATTTTGATAGTCACTGTCTCCTGGATGTCGAAAAGCTTACATGTTAACTCGGATATCCAATAGATGAGGCGGAAGCTATACATGAAGCCATGTGCACTCCGTAGGTGATGGCCTCTTGTACTAGGTACCTAAAGAATCAAGACGCCTGGGCTGTGATATTGCAACTTTCGGTGTATGCAATGGACGGACAAAGTGTATCGAAACATGTCGGTCATGTGATCTTGACTACTACTACCACACATCGAATGCTGAAGGTGCAGTTCTCGGCGAACTTGATCTCTTACGGTAGAGCGATGATATAGGTAGTAATTCTCTGGGGCCCAAGTCACCAGGCAAACGATCCTTCGCAGAGCCTGGACGACGATGTGTCATCACATGCTGGTGTTAATAAGATTTGTGCACAAGGTATAGGTACTTTAGGTATGGAGCATTGTCCGGATAAATACCTATAAATGCAGGCAAAAGCCGGATGAAGAAGCTTGTTCCTCTCATTGGCACAGATTGGGGGACGGAGGTGAAAGGATTTGCGTCTTGATGTCACGAGAAGGCGCACTTCTCACAAGGTGCAAGAACTACAGATACTTACCTAATGCTCTACAACTTACATTCTAGGTTCGCATGTAATACCTTCAAACGGCAAGTCATCCTGCAAATACATGAGTCGTTGCTTCCGAAAAAGACACAACGAAAGAAGGCGAGATGAAAAAGGGAAAGAAGAGGCTTGACGATTGCCGAAAGGATCCAATGGGCTCCCGGCAAGTAGTGGCCGAGCGCGACTATCGCTATCATTGAGGCAGCTGCATCCTTGCGCCTGTCACCTTCCGCGCTAGTTGCGCGGTGCTGCCAGGAAGGCAGTACCTTGCAGGCGTCCAGAAAAGGTCTAGAATACCTCAAGCACAGAGACACCTGACCAACAATCCAGTCGGGGAGGCGTACCTCCTGCGCGGCAGCTGCGTGGCGATGTACAAGCATGATGACATGGAGATGCGAGCGGGTAAGTCGCAGCTAACGCGACGAGGCTGTCGCCATGTATCTGTGAAATTGGGCAATTCGAAGCATACCTTAGGTACCTTGGTACTACTATCTTGCCCACGGAGTATCTTACCTCACTAAGGTCCTAATGCATTTTGCCTAAAAAGTATTTAGGCAGCTGATCTAAATACTTTTTAAGTAACCTTATTAAAAAAGGAAGTAATTATTAATATAATTTTCTATATAACTTCCTAAATCCTATACCCTCTAGTTATTAATATACTAGACTAATAAAGGCTATATAAATAATTATAATTAATAAAATTACTAAAAGTATTTAAGAAATTTTATTATAAGTAAGGGGTAGTAGCTAAAAAGTATTTAAGTATAAATATACTAGAAATTCTATTAGCTATTATTAAAGTATAATAGTAAAAGTTATAATTAACTTCTTATTAAACTTAATTATTATTATAATAAGTAATAGGTTTTTTAAAGCTATAGTTAAGGTAAATAAGAATAATTAGGACTTTAAAAATGCTATACTTTTATTAATAGTAGCTAGTATTAAAAATTAAGAAGTGCTATAATTATAATAATAATAAATTAATAATAATAAAAATAGTAATAATAATAGCCTTTAAGGCCTTATAATTATAGCTTTTTAATAACTATATAATAAAATCCTTTAAGGGTTAAAAAAGAGATTTAAAAAATAATTTTATATAATAAAAGCTATATTTTATACCTTTTATAATTAGCTAAGACTTAATATTAATGCTTTTAATAACTAATTATAATTACTAAAGTAAAAAGTAATAATATTTTTTTAAATCTATATATTTAATAAGACTTAATATAATACTATATATTATTTTTAAATATATTAATTATTTATATTATAAATTATTAATAATCTGCTTAATTTTATAAAGTAGCTATATATAGCCTTTATAATAATACTATTAGTAATATATATTTTATTATAAGTAGTATTAAATAATAAAGTAATTAGCTTTAAGAGTATAATTAATATAATTAATAAAATATATATCTTAGCCTTTATTTTTATAGTAAATTAGTAATACTTTTAATTAAGGAAAAATAATATATTATAAAATATACTTACTAGTATTACTTTAAAAGGCTTATTTTATTATATATTAGCTAAAGCTAAGGGTTTTATTAATAATACTACTTTTTTATTATAAGCTTTAACTTAAAATTTTATAATTTTTAAGTTATAATTCTTTTTTAATAATACTAGCTTTAAAATATAAAAGGGGATTATAATACTATATTTTAAAGTATATTATTATTTAAGGGATTAAGGTAATATAAATTAATAATTATAAAATAATAAAAAGCTTTTTAACTTATAGTATGCCTTATTAAAGATTATTATAAAGTATATTTTTAGCTATTATAAATAAAAGTAAAAGATTATATATTATAGTGCTTTAAAATATAACTTTATTAATTAGGTTTTTTTTATATATACTATTATAAGGCTTTATAACTTTATAATATTTAAGGGCATAATATTAGTAAAAAGCTATTTTAAGACTAAGGCAGCTTTAATTAAAAAAGAATTATTAATCTTAGTATAAGCTTAAGAAATAGCTAATTTTATTTTACTATTATTATTAAGTTATTAAATAAGGAAATATATAATTAAGGCAGCTTAAGCAGGCTACTAGTATTATATTAATATTAAAAATAACTTTAATAATAGCTTTAATAATAAGAAAAATAGTAATAGTAGTAATAGTAATAATAGTAATATTAAAATAAAGTGTTAATAATAATAAAAGGTATAAAAATTAAGTATAAATTTAAATTAAATTAATAAAAATCCTATATTATTATAAATTAATTAATTTACTAAATAGCTTAAGCAGTAGCTAGGTTATTAATATTTTATTTATTTATTTTATATTTTAAAGCTATTTTTAAATATTAAGAAAAATATTAAAAATCTAGCTAAAGTTTATAATTAATTATGCCTTTTTTACCTTTTTTATTAATAATAAATTCTATATTAATAAATTAATTAAATCTTTTTATATTTAATAAACTAATTTAATTAAAAATTCTATACCTTTATTATTAATAAATTTAAAATATTCCTTAATAGTATTTTTAAATACTTTTATACTAATTAAAAGTTACTTATAAAGGATAATATATTAATATAGCTATAAGTTATATACTGCTTATATAGCTAATAGCTATTAAATAGCTTTTAATAATACTAAGCCTTAGGCTTTTTTTAATAACCTCTTTTTCTTTAACCTTATCTTAATAAATAATACTAATGCTAATGCCTTTAATACTAGTAATAGCTTTATTAGTATTAGTAAAGGCATTATTAATAAAGGTATTATTAACTATAGTATTATTTTAAATTATATAGTAGTAATAGCCTTATTTTTATTATTATTATTTTTAACTATATTAAATTCCTTTAAATTCTTTTTTATAATATTAAGTAAGTCTATACTTTTTATAATAATATTTTTATTAATTTAAATACTTTTTTAACTATTAATTCCCTTAGTAATAGTAAAGCTTTTAATATTACTAGCTTTTTAAATATATTTTTTAATAAGTTAGTTCTTTATAAAGATTTCCTACTAATTATTAATTAAAATATTATTACTAATTAAAAGACTATTTATAATAACCTTTTAGCTAAAATAATTATATTAAGTAATTATAAGCTATTAATTTTAATAGCTTATATTTAAGGTCTTTATTTTCTTATTATATATTATTTTTAATTACCTTTTTATATAATTAAAAATATACTAGAATTTTTTTAAATAATAATATTTATTCTTTAATATTTTAGCTATTTAAAGTTAATTAAAATACTATATTTTTATAAAATTAAGTATTTTTTTAAAGCCTTATTATAAATATAAGGCTTTATTTAAATTTATAATGCTTTTATAAGTAGCTTTAAGTATTAGGCTAAGGAAAAATAATATTTAGTTATTTAACTATTTTATAGCTAAGGCTTTAAATATTACTACTATAGCTTAAGATATTAAATTATAATTATTTTATTATAGTAACTTTAAATATAGCTATTTTCCTTTATAATTTAAGGTATTTTAAATATTATAATCTTTATAAATTATAAAATATAATAGTATGGTTATTTAAAGGCAGTGGGCTCTTTTTTATAAATATAGTATAGCTTACTAACCTAGTATTATAGATATAGAAAAAGGATACCTTTAGGCATATTTATTTTATTATAGGTTTAGGAAGTTATACTATTCAGCTGCCTAAATACTTTTTAGGCAAGATGCATCAGGACCTAAACACTAAAGCACTCGTCGTACTCGCTTTCTCGTACCAGGGAGCCATTTTTCGCGGTTTTCGCGATCGATGCAGCGAGTTACCGATTGGGTCACCGCCCAGATTCTTCATCAGCCCTTCGAGATGGAAGCAGACAAGCTTCGTCGCTGGTTCAATCAAAAGCAGCGTCATAGGGCTTATGCTGTGGTCGCGAGTCCAACTATTTACGGGTCTCCACGAGTCAAGCTAGCCAAGAGCAAGGAAAAGGGCCATCGCCAATGCTGACACAGCAAGAACCTACAACCACTTGGGCAGAGGGACGAAAAGACCCTTTGCAAAGGGAGGAAAAGGAGAAGTGGAGAGACACCACATACCACATTATTCCCGCCTCCGATACATCCGATTAGTATTCTCTGATCATCGAGGGTGGCGCCTTGAATCTCGGTGGCTTGTCTGGGACGCCGTCCTGTGGCAAGGCGATCGAGTTTCCACGCTTCTTTCCGGCCGCGTCCAGCATGTTGCGCGGATAGTAGGCCTAGATGCCTCGTTGACTGCCCAATACCGCCTGAATGGCTGTCAGGGGTGCCGTGCAGCGGCTTCCAGGACGAGATTGGTCGTCGGAGAGGCAGGGCTCGAAGACGCTGCGTTCGCGCATGTGTAGGTACACTACCTAGGTATGCTGCTGCTTACCTCAGAAGATGGGATACTATCCCTGGGAACGCGGATCGACTGGAGGAGAGACGCCTCAAACCCTCTGCAGCTTATCATCACAAGCACAAGACACTATTACTACTACCCACAACCCACATCAGGACAGAGACACAGACCTGCCAGGACCAGGGCGTCTGGACCCCGGACGCTTAGGTCACAACAGATCGAGCCCTTCAGGACATGCTTTGGGACGGAGAGGCGCCAAATCACACAAGACATGGCTATCACGAAATCTGGCTGACGAGTCATCATGGAGGGCCGGGTTTAAGGGCTTGCTTGACGCCAAGTACACGGAAAAGGAACAGCGAGTGCCGACCTGCCAGCCGACAGCAGAACTCCACGACTTGCCCGAGAGCCCAAAGGCAACGGCCGCAATGCGGATTAATTTGCTGGCTACTAGCAGAGCAATACTACCTACATACCTTACCACTAGGTAGCTGACTGATGATTAGTCCCGGCCTCGAGTTCCGCCATCCTTGCTCCCATGAATTTCGCCTGCCGCCATCATTAGCCCACTCCGTTCGTTGGCGCGCCACCTCGTCGCACCGTGACGACGATTCTCAGCCGCTTGAGGTTTGCCCAAGCCCGGAGTAGCATCCCATTCTTTCTTCTCCCGCCGTTCTCCGTGGTTGTCTGTCTTGGCTCCACGGGCCTCGCGCGAGAGCCGAGGAACCTAATCCACTGGCCAGCCTCAGCCTGCCCCATCTTGCAGCTTCTCTCTCTGCCCATTCGCCGGCTGAGCTGGGGCTGTTCCAAGGACACGGGGAGAACGTCGTCAACTCCGGTCACAGTCGTGGTTGCTAGCTGCTTTCTTCATCTTCACATCACTCGCCTATCTTCGTGCCATCCTATCCCTTGGACTGGTACATGGATTCGCCGCAACCACACGACGCCGAGGGCTCGGTGCCGCCTACACACAGCTCTTCTGCATCTCTGTCCCCCCCAAATAAGCGCCGACGGACCACGACAAACACCGGTGACTGCTGTCGCACATGCCGGCTACGCAAGGTATGGAAGAGATGCTTATTGCCATCCCATGGCCGTCGCATGGCGCAGCTTGATAGACACATGTCTGTGCTTGGCCAAGTTTCTTCTTCCGCCAACACTCAACGTGGTCCAACATGTTCCTTTTGCTCTATATCTTGCACAGCAGGATGATGCTTATTGTGCCATTGTTCAATCGAGTCTGCCCGTTGCTGTCTGCCCCTTTTCTTCTACGCTTTTCATGCTGACGCATCGGTTTTTTCCCCTACACAGGTTAAGTGTACCGGAAACCCTGGAAATGGACCATGCAGCAACTGTTCCAGGCTGGAGCTCAGCTGTAGCTTCGCCGTCTCGCCTGGTGCTTCCGAGGAAGGTAGGTTCCGAAACGGCACACCTGACGAATAATCCTCCAGTTTCTGACAGCTTGAGTCCAGAGCGAGTCTCAAGGACAACACCCTCACACAGCCATACCGAAGCTGGTACGCTGAGGAAGAGGGCACAGAGGGCTTGCAGCCAGTGCCATGCACACAAAACCAAGTGCTCTGGAGACCTGCCCAAGTGTAAGAGATGCGAGTCCGCGAACCTAGTCTGCGAGTATACACCCACAAGGCGGAGGTTCACCAATGTTCGCTTCCACAGCCCAAAGGCTGAGGATCAAAATCCCTCCACTTTGCACCCTCTCAAGCCAGAAGAAAACGGAGCCATCAGTCCCGCGAGCAGCAATAGCACCGGAATTCCGACCTATCTTCTTGAGTCGGCGAATTTCCAGGCTGAGTACGCAGCCCCCTTGGGAACGATAGAGGAACTTTGTATCAGGCTAATGGCAGATGATGCAGGGAAATGCTACTCCGAAGAGACGTTATTCTTACCCACTTGGATGCTTACTTTGATTTCTTATATATGATGCCAAGCTTGGGTTTCCTACACCCCAAAGTCACCTACCGAGATGTTCAGGTATGGGGGTTACACGACGAAATTCCCACGAACTTCAGCTAACAGTTCCGCTTCTCAGGAAAACAGATTTCCACCTGCTCAAGCAGCGGCCGTATGCTCCGTCACCTCTTTCTTCGTGAACCCCGGCTTGGCTGGCCGGGAGTTTGGAAGGAAATGTAGCCAGCAAGTCGAAACGCACATCTACCGCAATATCTACAAGTTTTCCGAGAGCGCTCTCTTTCTGTTTGCTCTCAACATTCTGTTCAACATCCTCGATGGCTCCCACGCAAAGGTCTGGCAATGCTTTGGCGTGGCTTCGAGACTCATGATAGGCTTGCAGCTGAACTGGGACGTCACGTCGCATCACACTTCGTTTATCCAACAGGAATGCCTTCGGCGTATTGCCTGGCAGCTTTTCAGTCTTGATCGTCTTCTGGCAGGCGGTTATGAAGAATACATATCTTGTCGGGCCGAGAACATGAAGATCAGGCTTCCCTGCAACGAGGCTGCCTTTAGAGAGAACCGACCGGTTGTTGCAGAGAGATTGCATGACAGGCCCACCCGCTGCTCGCCCGCTCTTGGTCTTCACGGCATCCAGATCCTGCTTGTTGACCTTCGGCATCGCATACAAGTGTAAGGCCCACTTTCCTTCGGCGAATTTTCTGATGGTTGCGTCGTGACGCTTACAAGGCTATAGAGCTACGAAGAGGCTATCCGTACCGTCTGGGACTCCCATGGCGTCCCTCGAGCCATCAAAGGTCATGGAGGATATTGCTGGACTGCAGAGCGAACTAACCAGGTTTCACATTTCGATACACGATGATCTGCGACTGACCGAACAAAGCATGGCACGGTACGCTGCCTCGGATCAGTGGAGGGGATACTGTTTCTTCCATACCCACATGGCTGTGAGCCATATCGACCTCTACCGCTTTTCATTGCCTGGTCCTCGAAATCCGGCGTCCATCGAGATTCTCCGAAAGCTTCCGCCAGATTTCATCGCCCGTTCGCAAAGGCAAGCGGTCGCCCATGCCCTGAGCCTGGCTCGATTCCTGGACGCCATCAAGATCGAGACCGACAGGATGCCAAATCCCGGCACTCCCAAGCTGGTCGGCGATTACTCCGTTGCACACATGTCCACTCAGTGTATCCGAGTATTGCTCATCGCTCTGCAATACAACCTGTACGAGCACATGGGTGACACGACGGCGCCGGTCTGGCGAGGCTCCGAGACGAGCGAGGCCCAAATCAGATCGCTAATCGGGAGTATCATGGAAATTACCGAGGCCTGGGCCGAGATATTCGACATGGCGAAGCAAGCTGTAAGTCATGTTCTGGGCAGTGGCTCCTGTCTCTTGCCCTCTCACATGTCCTTCTTGATATTGTAGCACCCATGGCGTTCGATCTAACAAGTGGCGATTAGCACTTCTGTAACAAGGCGATGGTGGAAGACTTTTACAAGAACGGGAAGATACTCGACCGAGGGAACGCAGCGATCATTACGGGACAAGAGCCAGGCGAGGACAAGTTTCCATTTGGGTCGGATGTTTATATTGAACGAATGAACATCCCTGACCTTAAGGAGGAGCCAAGGAGCCGAGCCGCGAATATGCCCGTGTCCGACTGGTGGATGGGCCCGTCAACGACGCAACCGCTTTCGAGCAAGGCTTCATCACCTCTGCCGATGCCGTATTCTACTCCAGAGGCGGGCTTTGACGGCGATCACGGCCCGCCCGGCGTTCCCTTGTTCCTCGCCCAAGCGCGCAACGTCTCTCTGGGCATCAGCGACGTTTACGACGCAGAGACGGCCGTTGGCATGCAGCCGTCGGACGTGCTAGCCATGATGCCCAACAGCTACTCGATGATGCAGCCCGAGGTGCTGAGCGAGAGTAACGGGATGCCTATGCTGCGCATAGACGATACCCTCCCCAACCAGGCCATGTTTCGACAAGCGGACGTTCCGCCTGCTCCGCCACCGCCCTTTATCGCGTCCCAGCCGGGGATGATGATGAATGGGTACGTGCCGCCGTATCCAGGCGGGCATGCCGGTGCGCCTGTGTATCCGCCGCAACACAACTTTGGCTGAATCAGTTGGACATGTGTGGGAATATCCCTCTGCGGGGATGTTGCTGTGGTGTCGTTTCTATCATGTTGTTCTTATGACTAGCGTCGGTGTTTAGGCGTCTGTCTCGGTTTGTTTGATGCCCTCGGGAAATGTAAGGGGCATATTTCTGCATCATATTGTATGTCTACGGGCTTTGCTGTTACGGTATGTGTACATGGCACGTCTTGGCTTTTGACGATGCGTGAACGAGTTGATTGACGAGCCGACTTGATCTACTCGTCAGATGTATATGTATACTTTGGTTTGCTGTTAAACTGGCATCACATCACATATGCGCTTCTGTGGCGGGTATGGGCTCATTCAGACCTCGAAGTCGCCTCATGCTATGGAGTTCATGTTGCTCTGGAACTGTAGGATACTCTTAGATACTAAGACGTGAAGACATCAAATTCACGAATACATCTTGCACAATCCCACAAACTTCACCATTCTATAGAAGCAAACCCTGTATCGAGGCATAATTGTTCAATTATACACTAAATAATATCCTGTACAGCCAATACACACAAACAAAAAAAGAAACCAAGAAAAAAAAAAGCCATCATCTTTCACATCTTTTCATCGAAAAAGATGGCCCCGTTTCCGCTATGTACCCAGGTCTTGCATCCCGTTGTCCTTGCCGTCCCCCCCTTTTTTTCCAACTTTGCCCTCCCTTCCTCTTCGGCTCCGATTCCCCCCCCCCCCCCCCCCCCCTTTTAAATCGTCATGTATAGGTACTTTATATAAACAGAACGACACCCAGTCCAAGTTGAGACACAAGCACCGAGCCAGAGCTCTCTCTCTCTCTCTCTCTCCCTCCCTCTGCGGGCCCTCTTCATGAGCGCTAGCATGAGGCAAAAAGAAGGGCAGTTTGCTTCCGTCCGATATGGAGGGAGTAGGAACATGCCCAAAGGGGGAACCACTTGACGAAAAAGAAGAATAGACCCAAGACCCAAATCATGGCAGCTGTGTGAGATAGAAAAGAAGAAAACAACCAAACAAAACGAGGAAACGAATCAGACGAAGGGAGAAGAGAAAAAAAAAACTTGATGAAGAAACCCGCTGCATAAAGTTGAACCCCTTCACATGTAGCGCCATGTGTTTGTCTATATGTCGTAAAGATCCGCAAGGGAGAGAGAGAAATGAAAAAAAGAAAAAAACCCTTCTTCGGAGAGGAAGATGGCCGGTGACTTTTGGGGGTGGAATCCCAAAGTCCAGATTGTGGAAGAAGGGACGAAGAGACGAACATGGTATCGAGGGATTCTGAGGTTTCCAAGACTTTTGGTATCCAAGGGAAGTCGTTACACAGAGGATCGTGAAGTCTAGGTGAGAGCGTGGTGATGACTTTTTTTTTTCCTTTCCTTTTTTTTTTGTTTATTGTTGTCGTGTTCTTCGCTGTGTAGGCCGGGCCTGGGGTATAGATTGGAGGTTGAAAGGCCGAGAGGATGATTTATCAATTAGCTACTTTACTGATGATCGAAGTATGAGTGGTCCTTCTCCTTGAGGCCGCCAATCTTGTCCATGTCGACGGAGTAGAACTGGCCGTTGGCTTCCTTCTCGTAGGCGGGCAGCTCCTCGTCGTGCATGGGCTCGAGACCGACTGTCGCGTTTTCGCCAACACGGACAACGACAACGCGGCCACTCTTGCGGCGGCCTTGGTCGTCCTGCTCATCGGGGAAGGTAATGTGAATCTCGGGAACGTTGTCGGGAGAGTGAGGTGGTGAGCCGGGAGCGCGCAGCATGGGCTGGCCGTCGCGGCCGATGACGTAGACGCTGGAGCGGCCGTTGTGGGTGGTCTCGATGGTGAGGCCTCGGTGGTTCGGGTGGCCGCCTTTGACGTCGTCGTAGGAGGGCAGGACGGGTTCCTGCTCGTCCAGCCCTCGCTTGCGGCGGACGCGGCGGAGGACGAGAAGGATTGAGACGAGGATGAGAATGGCAAAGGCGATGCCGAGCACGATGAGCAAGACGTTGATAAGCGTATCGGGGTTGCCGTCAGAGTCGTCGCCTCGAGCGAAGACTTTCAGGGGACCGATCTGTCCTGCAGGGCGGAGCTTGTTGGCGATTTGAGAGAGCGAACGGGCTACGTCGAAGTGAGCCCGGGGTGTCTCGTCGACGGATCGCCGCAACAGAGTGAGTGAAGGCATGTTGGGCGAGTGATCGAGTACTTGTGGTGGTGCGTTCAAACGGTGAATGAATGGATGGTCAAGCTGTGTGGCGCCATGGTTAGCATGTTGGTTGTTTGGACGACATGTCGTGCTACGGGGCAAGCCAATTCAGAGAACAAGATATATAGAGAGGAACGATGGGGAGTCGGCGGACAAGTGACCGCAAACGGCCTCTTTTCCAACCCTCCCCCATCGTCTCTATTTCCTCATCACCGTCGTCGTTGCACATGTCGCCAGCATCTTCACAGCCGTCGACAGACGCACAGACAAACATCACAGCTGGAGGCGTGCCAGGGAGGGGTTGGCGCAGCAGATCCCCCAAATCGTCACACCATTCCCGGGTTCCGTGCCATTGTGTGTCGCAGCGAAACAGGTGCTACTCACATTCTTTTGTCTTCTTTCCCCCCTTCGCAGGTGGTCAGCGGGATGCTAGCCGGGGAAAAGCTGAGGCCGCTGGGCGAAACAGTTCAGAAAAGAAAAGGAATGTAGATCGTGGTCGTCGTCTGTCAGAGAGTCAAAAGGAGTGGTGAAGAACGCGGGATAGGCAATGAGAAAGGACCGGACGGATGCACAGCTAAAAGAATGAAGCCTGTGCGATCCAGAAGGAGAGTCTTCGAAACGAAGAGAGAGAAAAAAAGAATGGAAGTCTCGAGGCAAGAAGAGAGGGACAATGAACGTCTAGACGCCTCTCTGCTTGTCCCGGCAAGAGGAATTTGAGTTGATTTTGCTGGCCAGCGACGATGGTTGAAGCAGGACGAGAAAAAGATCAGGGCAGCCCGCAGACGGGGGGGGGAGAGAGATGTTGAGAAGACTCTCTCTCTCTCTCTCGCCTGTGTCGGTTCTCAGGCGCTGGGTCCGCTGTGGCAGAGGCACTTACAGGGTGGTCGACAGGGCGGCACAGGGCCCCCGGGGGCGCTACAGCATGCAGGACAGCGGCCTGGGAGTCCCCTAAGTGGTCGAGCCGAGCGGGGTGTCGCCTGTGGGAAATTACCTACAGGTCGGATTGGGCCATAGACCCGTCGTGCCCCTGACGCTTAGCGGGCAAGCGGCCAATCAGGCGCCGGGCAGCCCTGCAGGCCATTTATAGCGTCTCTGGGCCCGTTGAGCAGTCGGCGAGGCTAAGCCCTTTTCGACCTCGACCTCGAACTGGTGTGGGCCTCCCGAAGCCTCTCGCGGCAAGCCATTGGACGGCTGGTTGCGGTTTTTGTGGCCACCATCTCAGGTACCATCGCCCTTGGCAGCACATCACGGCTCATGCGGAACAACAACAACAAACGGGCGGAAGCGAAGAAGAGGAGAATGGATGGAAAAAAGAAGAAGGAAGAGAACTATTGATCGAAAGCATTTTGATGCTGTGATGGTAACACCCGGTCGATGTTTGTGCAAACGCCGTGAGCCAGTGGGAGCGAAGCCGTGAATAGTACGTGCTTTTTTTGTATGTGAGAGTATGTGTGACTGCCATCAAAATCTGGTACACCCTCGTCGTGTTTGTTTGCTTGCTTGACTGTCTGTTGAATCCAAGTCCACTAACACGACAAGGCACCGCTCGGCTAACAGGGAGAGATGGAGCAGGGCAGACAAGCACGCCAGACATCCATCCACACACACAACAGGCTCTCAAGTCAGCCAAGTCACGCTCTCAGCTCATACTGTACGTGGCATTGAAACCGGCGTTTCGAAATCACACGCGACATGCAGTGGCTGCCCTTGTGTCGCGCGTGTTTCCAGCGCCTCCAAACTGTCAAAGTGTCGTGTCTCGGATCTCCCCAGAGTGGCGGTCGAGAACACACCAGAATAAGGTATGGACTACTATGTATGTAGTACCGGCTTCAAAAGATACCTGATGCTGAGGTTCACCCCAGCCGGGACGGAGTGACTGGTCTATACAAGTATACATCCATGCTGGCGACTCACGTGTCTGCCACAGAAGACGTCCAGAATGCGGTACAAGATGATGGCTGCCACGGTGGCTTGCTAACCGGGAAGTTGACGATGATGACATGGAGGTTTCGAACCAGCACTATTTATGTATGTGAGGGCTGTCGCGTGCGGAGTGAGCGGTTCATCAATCTCCTAGAGTTGGAGGCATACCAAACATGTACGCATGTTGCCTATCACGCCCGCATCACCGCTTTCCCACCCTCTCTTTTTCAGAACCTTTACCACTCAGAAGCATCAGATGTCGACCAAACAGACCATCTTCAACAATAAGGTATCCTCTATAAGTATCTACATTCAGCCTTTCGCAAATTGCAGCATCCCAGCTCACTATACTACCGTTATCAACACCACATGGTAGCACTCATCCTTCAGCTGTCTCAAGCGAGCTATTCCCAGCATCCTACCTTTGTACATACCTACTCCGTCCATGCCCCCTCCCCCCTCACCACTCAACCACACCCATGTCATCGCATGCTCATTCAACCCTTCCTGCTTTGGAAAAAAAAAAAAAAAAAAAGCAAAAAGGCAGGGAAATCCTTGCAAACCCCGGGCGTCTCATCCATCCCCCCGGCTTTGTCGATATGCCAATGTTCTAAAAAAGGCCAGTCTTTCGGGGTGGGACCACGCGATAATTTGCATGGTTTGCATCGACGACATGGTGCCAGCTGAATGTCAAAGCTGCCAATGTTTGTCTACCATGAAGTTTCACAAGCTCATCTGACAAGCTTCGAATCTCAGATGCGGAAAGGCTCACCGTACGACTACATGTAGTACTTTCAACGCTCTCGTCCTCTTCCCAGCGTCGTACATGTACTTCTAACCTGATTCCACGACTATCGCAATTCTTCCCCTTGTCCTCTACTACTAGGTACCTACCCCCGATCCTACTGCTTCTCCGCCCTCCTCTCGAGGGCAACCCTTTTGCTCCGAACTATCTATGTATGTCCAGTCCCCAAAGCTCCTCTCGACGGCTTCTCCACCGATCGGGCATTCCTGCATTCAGGCAGGAGAAGGCCCTTTTTTTCGCTTATGCATATTGGCCAGCGGATGCTTCCGATGATATTGTACCGAACAAAGCCGTCTTGCTACCCAAGATTTGCTGGTGGTGTGATGACAACATGGATATATCATGGCGCGGCAAGTGAAATCGCCTACCTATGTAGTTACTGCTACCAGAGTTGTAGATTGGAGCCCATTTTGGGAATGACTGGCATCTCGTATGCATCTCATCGTGGCTCTTTCATGTATGGATGCATGTACTAGCGCTATTTATGGACAATGTGGCCCACGCCTTGAGGTGCCTTTCTTAGATGCTTTCATGTTGCTTTCTGCCTACCATGGAGGTGGCCACCGTGCGGTGTGAGTGGTAGTCAAAGCAACAATGCGTAGGTTCACCCGCAAACCACAGTGAAAGGCAAACGCCGGGATTCAAGTGTCTGATGGCTTGTTGTGGCAGCCTAGCCAAGAGTACATGTATGCAATGGTTTTTCCCTGCGTTGGGTATTCATACATTCTATCTACATGTACTCGTAGGTTGTCGCTTGACAGTGATCTGATGCGTTTGCGAGCGTCATAGTACTTTATATTTGGAGCCTGATATCAATGCCTACAGGACTTATAGGAGGCATCAAAAATTGAGCAATTGCAGGGTAGCGGAACTTGAAGCCAATTTCGATCTCGACAATATCCGTGAACGAACTGGTACCGGGCCCTCACCTCACATCGTCAATCAACACGCATATGATCGAGACCATATGTGGGATCAACTCGTACCTCATGAATGATGCCCACGAGATTCAATCTGTAGCCCGTCTCAACTAGGTCGGACTGCCGGTCATATCGCCAATCCTCAACCCCGAGTACAGCTCTGCCTTGCCATGCTTTGTACAGAGTAGTAGTACGCCGTAATACCTACACAACGCCATCAGACACTCCCTATGAATTGGAGCATGCATGAATGCACAACACCTTTTCAAGCCTACTGAAGAAGCAAACTCAATGACAGACAGCACTGCATGCCCATTACTTTCTAGCTCAACGCTCAATCCAGCCACATCTCGTCTAAACACAGTGAGAGCGGCGACCAGGCGGACCAGCATTGACTGGTGACACAGGCCCGCTTGAGTAGTACTAACATGCATTCAGAATTTATTATTAAAGTCGAGACTTGCGTCTGCCTCCCTCACTGCTCCCATGCTCTCACGTTCGTTTGGTGTAACCCGTACGTAAAGGCAGTCCATGGCATTTCCAGAGAGGATGCTGCATTGTCAACCTAGGTACGTGATGGAAAAGCTACCATCAATGACGGGTGGACCCCTTTGAAAGGCAATGGAGTAAGAACAATACAATACTTGCCGTCCTTGGAAGGGAACGGCTTACAGTCAATAGTAAGCTCCTGGATATCGGACCCTCGACTCGAGTAATTTCAAGAACCGCGGTGCTCGGGAGGGCGGGTGCTTAGCGGGCTTGTGCAAAGTGAAAGGGCCAAAAGGGGTTTCGTAGCAGGAGTGCCAAATGTATGCTTCTCATCCTCCCTTTCTTTCTCCCCACTTCCCAATCCCTCCCGTCACTCACGGGGGAACCCGTGTCAGAGTGAGACAGTCACCTACAAAGGACAGATGGAAGCATCAGGGGAGACAATAATGACAAATTTGTCACCGGTGGCGACTATCCTTCACAGGGTCCATGCTCAGTCGCCGTCTCTGCGATGTATGGCCGGTTGATGATTATTATCAGGGGTTCTTGGTTTTCATACAGGAAACAATAGATTTCTGATCTGAGGTCGAGCTGGAGCCTCTCGCAACAGGAGGTGCATCGTAGTGCCATCTCCATATCGTTCTGTAGAAAGCCACCCCCGTATGCAAAGACGATGCCGGCAAATGAGTGTTTTCAGATGGCAACACAATGCCCGGCATAAAGTGGGTTAGACGACCTCGTTGGACGCGCCCTTTGTGTAAGGTCAAGGGTCAACTCTGTGTGTGTATGAAGTCAGAGCTTCGTATTCTGATTGCTTGTACATGGAATGACGAGAAAAAACAAAAGCCTTTGCCCCCTACCTCTTGTAGGTACATACATATACATGTATACTACTACTAGTATTTACGATTAGCGGCAAGGGTCCTTTGTGTTTGCCTCTTACGACAGGAGGAGGCGACAAGATGGAATCCGTGCCGTCGGACTCCTGGCAAAGCCGGGTGTTTGGGGGAGTTGACAATCAAAAACATCGACCCCTGCAATGCTCATTTCTGCAGACGGGAACTGGCGCATACAGTCATTGCAGCTGTACCGGAGTCGATATGCGGCTTTAGAATATGTCAAACGCCATGGGGAGGCCATAGAGGCAGATAAACCACCCTGGAGATGAAATCGAACACACCCGTCGTTATTTTTCGTGCGCTCCGGCATGAAAGTCGGGAAAATTTGTTAATGAGCTATTTTACTACCCTTTTTCACTCTCAATGTCGTAAACTTGCTGTGGAAACGAGCGTTGCTGATGCTATCGAGGGTCTTGGGTTCATTCATCGTCGGTTGTTTTTCCCATGTCGTTGCTCGAATCAGGTCAACTCCGGGGCATCTTGCTGCTAAGCTCGATTAGGCATCTCCTCACTGTCTGGGCTTCGGTGATCTCTGGAGTCTTGACAGGGATCAATCCGAGTGCCTGCGTTTGACTGAGCGATCTTTGCGTCGCCAGTCTCCTTTATTTTCCCTTTCGTCCTTCTTCTTTGGATGTTTCGCATATGCACTGATCGGCGTATGTGTGT